CCCCTCTCGCCGGTCCTCCGGCACCCGAGCGGCGGCCCCATCAAGCCTGTCCTCGAGCGCGTTGCCGCTCGCCTCTCGAAGGAGACGGGCGAGGACGTCGACGCCGCCATGGCGCTCCTCCTGTGGACTCGTGCCAAGAAGGTCGTCGCCGTCACCGCCTCGGGCAACGAGGGCCGCATCGCCAAGCTCGCCCGCACCCAGGACCTGCCCGACCTCACCGCCGACGAGGTGAGCGAGATCGAGGAGCTCGGCCGCAAGATCCACTTCCGTGCCTACGTGCGTCCCTCTGTTCTCTTCCTCAGACTTTATCTCTCGGTCGTCCTTGCGACGCAGAGACTGACCCTCGAACCGCCCTCCAGGACGAGCACATGTGCGTCGACTTCCCGGCGCCGGCTCTGCCCAAGGACCTCTAGAGCCTTCTCGCCGAGCCTCTCAATGTGTAGAAGCAGTACATAGATGCCATTGCAGACGTCCACCCTTGCGCGCCCTCGTGTCGCCGCCAGCTCGTGCTCGTCCAGTGCCACGCGCTCGCGGCTACGCTCGACTGCCTCGCGCCCGACCTAGCTCCGGGCGACGCTCTCGACCGAGAGTGCGCACTTCTCAGCAGGCCCTCGAGAAAGGAGGTCGTCATGGCGGCTTGAGCGCACCGAGCCTCGCTCTCTCCCTGCTCGGAGCGAGGAGCGCTCGTGCCCTGAGCCTCCGGAAGCCCACGCGCTCGCCGCTTCGCCTGCTCGGTAGCTCGAGAAAGCCACGCTGTCGTCTCTCCGCAGCAGAGAAGCCGCGGGCCAGTCGAAGGCGATCCGGCGCCGGGCGAGGAAGGAGGAGCTGAGGAGCGGAGAAAGGGAACGGTGTCGGCCGGGCGAAGCAGCGGGTGCCACCGCAATGACATTGACCTCCTCGTTGTGCTTGTCTCGAGCGCATGAGCCGAAAGCGGAGCTCGACGACAGTGTGAGAGAGAGGGACGGGAGCTCGTCGAGGAGGGAGGCGGCGCAACTCGAGCTCGCCCGCTCCCACCTCCCGCCCGCTACCAGCCAGCTGCCGCCGCTCCCGCGCTCGCGATGGACGCACAGCACCGCCAGCACCGCCCCACGGCGTGCGCTTCTGTGCCCGATCGCTGGCCTTTGTTCGCTCGAGCTGTTCTCCACCGAGGACGGCTCGGAGATGGCAATCGAGCTCGCTCGACGACGGCTCAGGCATAGCGCGCACGGCCACGCGGAGCTGTGCCCGAGCGCGATCCTGCAGGTGTCCGAGCCTGACAGCCGCTGCACGAGCCGGCGAACGCCCGCGAGCAGGTCGTCGACGTGCCTTCCCTTCTCATCTCGCCCAACTCGGCAGGCTCTCGTCGTCTCTGTCCTCTTCCGGAGCGGTCAAGATGCTGTCGGCGCGGTGGATCCCAATGCGTGGCTCTCGATCGCACGCCGTCAAAGGCCGACCCTTGCGTGAGCCCGACGCTGGCCCGCTCGCCGCGTCGTCGGAGCCGACCGAGGCGGCTCATCTGGTCGTCGCCCTCGCTCCGCTCTTTCTTTCTCTTCCCCTACAGCTCGTACTCGTCGCAGCCGTCCGCCCTCGTCCTTCTCCTTTCGCCCCCGTTCGCAAGCAGGTCTTGCGCAACGACGACTCGCCCTTGAAGCTTCGACAGCTCTCTCGCGCGCCCTTCTCTCTTCCTCCTCGCCCAAGTTCGTCTTCCACCACCTCGCATAGGTCGACTGGTTCACCATGCTCTCCTCCACCACCATCTTCACCGCCGCCGCCGCTGTCGCCGGCCTCGCGACCCAGGTCGCTGGCCACATGTCGATGTGGTACGTCCCTCTCTCTCCCTCTCCCACCCTCGCTATTGTCCGTATCGCTCTCTGTATCACCTACTGACGTCTCCCGACCCCTCTACCCATCTTTGCCCCGTCCCTCGCGCTCCCTCGACCTCCTGCGCAGGCACCCCTCCATGTACGGCGTCGGCCCCGACTGGGCGTACGAGGCTGGCCCTCCTACCGACCCGATCGGCCCCTACTTCTCTTACGACGACTGGTGGTTCCGTGGACCCGGCTACCGCAACCTGCCGCCAGTCAACGGCGACATTATGAACCTTCCCGCCGGTGGCAGCATCACGCTCGAGATCGCCTGCCAGTGCGTTCGCGCACCCTCTCTCCTTCCTCCCGGCCCGTCCTGACGCTCGAGCACACCTACAGCGTCGCCTGGACGTCCTACGGCGTCAGTCCCACCGTTCCCGGGTCCACGCTCGACGCGTGCGCTCGTTCCCCTTTTCTCCCCGAGGTCGCCCTCGCTCACGCCTCGCTCTCACAGCTGCCCTGCCGACAACGCCGGCGCCTACCACGTGAGTCTCTCTCTCCCTCTCTGGGTGCGCGCTGCTGCGTCGCCGAGCCGGACTGACTCTCCTCGTCGTGCGCAGTCGGGCGACCCCAACTCGATGGTGATCGACCAGTCGCTCCTCTCGGGTTGCGCTCTCGGTATCGCCGACGTCGACGACATCTCCAAGGTCACGATGGACAACCTCGCCATCTTCTCGGTCAAGCACGACTGCGTCAAGCAGAAGATGAACTCGTTCGACGTCCCCGCCAAGATGCCGCAGTGCACGGGCGACAAGTGCATCTGCGCCTGGTTCTGGCTCGCCAACCGCGTGCGTCCCTTCTCTCTCACCCCTCGTGTCGACGAGCACGAGTCGCTGACCGCCTCTCTCGACCCTCGCAGGGCACGGCCAACTTCTACATGACCGCGTTCGACTGCTCCGTCTCGGGCTCGCCGGCCGACGCCACCCCTATCGCACCTCCCCAGGACCCGGTCTTCTGCAAGAAGGACCCGTCGTCGTGCACGACTGGCTCGAAGCGCCCGATCTACGCCTACAACTTCCCGAGCAACGTCCCCTGGATCGGCAACGACGACCGCGCCGGGTACCACCAGGAGTGGTCGTTCGGCACCGACGGCGCCCAGAACGACATCTTCATGCCGGCCGACTACGACCAGGCCGCCTACGCCGCGTCGATGAACAAGACGGTCGTCATCCCGCAGACGTGGCCGACGCCGACCGGCGCAGACGGCGCCGAGGACCTCGCCGTTTCCGCCTCGGTGTCGGCCTCGTCCGTCTCGTACGGCCAGGGCGCGTTCGCGGCCATCGACGGCAAGGTCGGCGGCTACGTCGAGGACGGCTCGGGCTACTCGTCGGTCGAGTGGGCCTCGGACCACCAGGGCGTCGGCGCGTGGCTCGCCCTCTCGTGGGCCTCACCGATCACGTTCAACCAGATCCAGCTGTTCGACCGCCCCAACCTCGACGACCAGATCACGTCCGGCAACATCACGTTCTCGGACGGCTCGAGCGTCGCGTTCGGCGCCCTCCCCAACGACGGCGAGTCGCCGCTCTACCTCAACCTGTCGGCGCCCGTCACCGTCTCGGGCCTGCGCATGACGGTCAAGGGCGTCAGTGCCGACACGCAGAACATCGGCCTGAGCGAGATCGAGATCTACAGCGTCTCGAGCGCGGCGTTCACCAAGCCCGTCTCGGTCGTCGGCAGGCCCGCCGCCGTCGTCTCGTCTTCGTCGGTCGTCCAGTCGTCGGCGACGTCGTCGACTGTCGTCTCGTCGACCGCTGTCTTGGCCTCGGCCTCGGCGACGAACTCGTCGAGCTCGAGCGTCCCGACGTCGGCCTCCTCGTCGGTCCTTCCCGTCGCCTCGTCCACCGTCGCGCCGTCGTCGGACGTCGCATCGTCGGCTGCAGCATCCTCGGCATCAGCGTCGTCGACCGTCGCCTCGAGTGCGGCGTCGGCATCTTCGTCGGTCCTGGCCGCGACCTCCTCGACCGTGGTCGTCTCGTCAGCTCCTTCTGCCGCCGCGTCCTCGAGCGTCATCGTCTCATCGTCGTCGACCGTCGTCACTGTCTCGAGCACGAGCGCGAGTGCCTCGTCGGCGACTGAGGCGAGCACCAGCTCGTCGGTCCCGGTCTCGAGCGCCGCTTTGACCTCTTCGACCCTCGCCTCGACCGCCAGCTCGACCTCGGTCTCGTCGACCCTCGTCTCTTCGTCGTCTATCGTCTCTTCCTCGTCTTCCTCTTCGTCCTCGTCGACGACCACGACGCAGGCGCCGAGGACCACGACTCGCGCAACTACGTGAGCTCGACCTTCTCAAACTGGTTCTCGTGCGCCTTCCTGACTTTCGCCTTCTCTGCGCCGCAGCACGACCACCACCAAGGCGACCACGACGACCAAGGCGGCGACGACCACCTCTGCTTCGCCCACGGCGACCAACCTCGCCCCCAGGGCGACCCCGATCGGCTCGACCGCGCAGAGGAACTCGCCGGCCTCGGGCGCCATCGACGGCCACATCGGCGGCATGGTCGCCAAGCGCGCCACCGGCAATGCGGCGTGGGAGTGGGCCTCGCAGAACCAGGGCGTCGGCGCCTATCTTTCGCTCAAGTGGTCCAAGGCTCAGTCGTTCAACCAGCTCGTCCTCTACGTGCGTCCAGCTCTCTCCTCCTCCTCCTCCTTCTCGACCGCCGACTGACGTTGTCGATGGCTGTCTGCAGGATCGCCCCAACCTCGCCGACCAGATCCTCGGCGGCAACTTGACCTTCTCGGACGGCACCCGCATCCAGTTCGGCGAGCTCAACAACGACGGCACGGCGACCGTCATCAACCTCGGCCGCACCGTTACGTGCAAGTCGCTCCTCGTCACGGTCACCAAGGTCTCGGCGACGACGACGAGCGTCGGCTTGTCCGAGATCCAGGTCTACCTCGCCGACGCGACCAAGTTCACCTCGGTCTACTCGCCGACGTCGTGGGCGGTCACGGCCCGCCAGGCGACGGCGCCTGCGCCCGTCGTCGTCGCGACGACCTCGCCCGCCGCGACCACGACCTCGTCTGCCCAGACGACCCCGGCCGGCGTTACTTTCACCGACGGCAGCACGACCCAAGTCCTGTGCGTCGCCTGTCTCGCTCTCGCGTCCTCCACTTTTTGAAGCGTCACTGACTCTCCTTCGCTCTCTTTCAGGTACTACGCCGACACGACGACGACCAAGGCCGCAGCGTCGACGTCGGCAGCCCGCAACGCTTGGTCCGTCGCGACGGCCCTGCTCGACCGCGTCGTCCTCGCCGGCACCAAGTCGAAGCGCGAGCTCGAGCCGACTTCGGCGCCCTTGTCGTCTCGGCACGCTCGCGACTTCCGAGTCTGAGCTGGTCGTGCACCCCCTCCTCTTCTCCTCGGACTGTAGCATACTCTCTTCCTCGCCGCCTCGGTCATGTAGCACGCCCCGCATTTGATGCACCGCACACTCGTTTAGCCTCCCTCGTAGCCTTTCTACCCCGTACACAGTTCCTGCAACCTCGTTGGCTCGTCCTTTCTCTCGATCCTCGGCGAGCGCAAGTCCTGCAGTGCCTCATCGTCTGCTACTCTCGAGCTTTCTGTCTCTCCCTCTCTCTCTCATCGTAACGCAAGGTGCACCCTGTCGCGTTGCGCAAGAGAGCGTCGAGAAAGACGGCAACGAGGTTCCTCCCTCCCGACCTTCTCCTCCCGCCCTGCGCTCAGGCCGCTTCCCCGGACTCGCTCATGCACCGATCTCGGCCTCGAGCATCTGCGCGTAGTACTCGCCCGCGACGACTGGCTCGTACTTGGCCTTGCCCGACGGGCCCTCGAAGCCGGGAAGGCAGGAGATGATGGCGTCGGGGTTTGGCTAATCGACTCGGCGCCGCGAGAGGAGGCCGGAGCGAGTGAGGGGGACACGTAGGGACAGGGTCAGGGTCGCTCGAGAGGGATGACGACAAGACAAGAGAAGGGAGACGAGGGCGCACGTTGCAGAAAAAGGCGACGCTGCGCCTCGTCTTCGTGAGGCCGTCGGCGTCCTCGCTGTCACGCAAGTCGGGCAGGACGGCTCGATGCACCGTCGATTTGAGCTCGTCGTTCGACCACCGTGACAGGATGTCGCCGCTGCAACGTCGACGATCAGTGAGGGACACATGGCGAAAGATGAAAGGGAAAAAAGGGGACGCACAAGTTGAGGATGAAGGTTCTCGGCTTTGGCACGACGGGGATGAAGGCGCCGCTCGGCGACTCTATCTCGAGGCCGCCGGTGTCGTCCTGGAACTGCGAGGGAGCGGTGCAGCTGCGTCAGGCTCGGCGACAGAGAAAACGACTCGGCGGCAAGGAGAAGAGGGAGCTCACGAGGATTGTCGTCGTGCCAAAGTCGGTGTGCGCGCCAATCCGATTGTTCGAGCCCGACCGAGGTACAGGCGGGTAGTGCAGCAGGCGCAGGCAGTGGTTGCGGCCGTCGATTTGCGGCAGGAAGAAGTCGGGCGCGAGGTCGAGCGAGATGGCGAGTAGGGACATGAGGCGGAGGTGGAGCTCGTCGAGGAGGACGTAGAAGCGCGTCATCGTCTGTTGAACGGGCAGGCCAGTGTGGGCGAGGGCAGGAGAAAGAAAAGGAGGAAGAGGAGGAGAGGCGCACCTCCTTGAACCCAGGCAAGTCCTCCTCCCTCGGCCAGTGCTCCGGGTACACGGGATCGACGTCGTTGCCAATCTCGAACGTTTCCCTGTGCGCCGAGAAGGCGGTCAGTATGCTGAGCAAGGTAAGGACGAGGGGACGAGAGGAAGGGAGGACGAGGCGACGAGAGGAAGGAGAGGACGCACTTCTGGTCCTTGGCCGCCTCTCGCTCTGCCCCGATCTGGTCCGGGTCTTTGCTGAGGCTCGCCTGCTCGCGACCGAAGCTGAGATACCCGCGATTTGCCTTGCTGCTGGTATACGCGAGCTCGTTCTTCTTCTCGAGTGGCAGGTCGAAGAAGCGCTCGTTCTGCGGCAGTGGCAGGGTGGACGGAGGGCAAAGGTCAGCGGCCGCTCGAAGGGATCCGGAAAGGAGGGAGTGGTGACGCACATGGTGAAAGACCTCGTCGACGAGCTCTTGGGGGACGACCGACTCGTAGCCCTCGACGTAGAAGAATCCGACCTCCTTGGCGAGCTGGACGAAGGCTGCTGCGAGTGCCCGATCTTGTGTCGGTGTCGACTGGCCCGTCAAGAAGCGCGAGATGTCGAGGGTGTTGAGGGATTCGGCCGAGGAGGGCATGGCGCGAAAGAGGCGAGAGGGGGGCTCGCGGCGCTGTGCGAGGTGGCCGTGGCGGTTGTACAGGCGTGCTGGAGCGAGGGCAGAGCAGAGGCGAGACTGCTCGAGTCGCTGTGGTGACGAGACGGGAGGGAGAAAGCGCGAGCGCTGATGAGGAGGCGAGAGAAAGGGAGCCGAGCCGAGCGAGCTTCAATGGCACGCGGCTTGCGCTTTCACACTCTGGATGGCTGTCCGTGCTCTCACGGTGTGCCTCAACAGGGCGCGAGAGCATGGCGGGCGGGCGACGCGAAACATCGAGACGGGCCGAGCGTCGGACGAGGACGACGACGAGGACGACGACAGGGATGCGAATGCACGGGGTAAAAGTGTGCGAGGGAGAACTAGTGCGCTAGTGCGAAGAAAGTCAGAACGAGAGAAAGATGTGCGAGAGGAGGAGGGCGCGTTCTAGTCGACGATGCCGAAGAACCGCTGCTGGAACGCGACGACCTCCTTGGCGAGCGCGTCCATGAGCAGCGCGCTCTCCGTACTCGGCGCCGACGACAGCTCGAGGCCCGGCACCTCCTGCACCGCGCCCGGGAGCGGCGGAAGCCCCCTCAGGGCGAGGTCGGCCGCGGCGCCGGTCCTCGACGAGGTCGATGCGCCAGGGACCGGCGTCGTCCCGCCGACGCCTCGAGGATGCGCGACGACGCTCGAGTCCCGGCTGCCGACCGACCCCAGGCCGGACCCTGCGCCTGAGCCCGAGCCCGAGCCGGAACCCGACGACTCGCCCTCGGTCGCGCCGACCCGCCCACCGCGTCCGACCCGCTCCCTCCCGCGCTCTCGCGCGTCGCGCACGCGCTCGTTGACGTCGCGCAAGAGCTCCCACCGCCGCTGCCGCTCGACCATCTCGACCTGGACCTTCTGGACAAAGTCGAGGACGGTCCGGGCGCGCTTGCGCATCTCGGGCATCGTTACACGCTTGCCCGGGAAGCGCACCTTGGTCGACGGCTCGGCGACAGGAGGGACGGACGGGTCGACGGCCGAGGTGACGACGAGGGGTCGAGGCGACTGCGAGGGGAGGAGGTGGGCGAGGTGCTTGAGGTGCTCGGGCATGCCCCACCCGAACGTCGCCATCGTCGCGTTGCCGCCCGTCGACGCCGACGCCGTCCGGCCGTTGGGCTCGGGTGCAGGTCCGGAGGCGGTGGCGGCGGCGACGGCGTGCGCGCGCTTGGCGGGCGACTTGGGCGCGCGAGTTGGTGCTGGTTGGCCGTTCTTGGGGCGGTAGGTGTACTGGTTCGGGTGCTTGGCTCGTGCGCCGCCGTGATGGTGTACAGGGGAACGATGAGGGGAAGGTGACCGTGCTGCGAGGGAAGGAAAGGCGAGGGTCAGACAGGTACAAGAGCTCGAGTAGGGTGAAGCGGACGCACCGCTGGGCTCGACCGCCGGTTCCTCCTGCGACGCGACCTCCTCGCCGTGCTGCGCCGCCTCGCCATCTCCCACCTCGTCCTCCTTCTTCTCCTCGTCCTCGGCGCCGGGGCTCAGACGCCTCTTCTTGCCCGGCGGGCCCATCTCGCCCTCGGCCTCTTCGCCGTCTCGCGCGGCGGCGACGGCATCGTCCTCGGCGACAGCGGCTGCCGCCGCCGACTCGTCGGCGTCCTCGATGCCCTCGAGCTTGGGCTCGACGTCAACCGAGTCGTGCGGCGCGGGCGAGTCGCCCTCGGCGTGCGAGTGCGAGCGACGACCGCGCGACGGGGCAGATTTCCTGCGAGCGGGTCCGAGAGTATGTCAGGACCGGCCGCAAAGGCTCGACAGAGCGTCGAGGAAGGAGGAGATCACGAGGAGAGAGAGCGGGAACGCACCCCTTGCCGCCCTTCTTCGACCCGGCCCCGCCCTTCTTCGACCCGCTCTTGGCCGCCCGCTCCGCCACCGGCGCGCTCTTCTTGCGCCCTCGACCCGGCCCGACAATGACCTCCTCGACGACGTCGTCCTCGCTGTCGTCGCCCTCGTCGCCGCTCAACCGCCCGCCGCCGCGCTCGAGCCGCGCGCGCATCGCGGCGCTGCCGGCCTCGAGGATGCTGAGCGCGATCGCGTCGTCGTACGCCGCGTCGCGCGAGTTCATCGTGCTGCGCTTCTTGGGCTCGGGCCCGCCGGGCGCACCGGGTGCGGGCGCCTTGCCGCTCGTGCTGGCAACGGCGGGCTCGACCGGGCTCGGACCGGGCTCGTGCGCGACGACGGGTGCGGCGGCGGCGGCGGGAGCGTCGAGCGACTCGCGCGGCTTGGGGTGCGGCGCCGAGGTGGGCGTGGGCTGGGCGGCGGACGAGGAGGAAGAGGCGTGTTTGGCGGCAGGAGGGAGGCTGGCGGAGGGGGAGCGGCCGCGAACAGGCGCAGACGACTTGCGGTTGACCTTGCGGAGGAGTCTGCGGGTGTGTGAGAGAGTAAGTGATCCGCAAGAGGCATGCGGTTCGTGTGAGGCGCGTGCTGCGCCGACGAGAGCGAGAGAAGCCGGACGCACCCGCCTGGCCCGTGCAGGTTGGGCTTGCAGAGCTCGCAGAAGTAGCGGTTGGGGCACTCCTGTAAGACAGGGAGAGAGTCAGTACGAGATGTCGAGGGCGGGACAGACCGCGTCGACCCGAGCGGGCGCACGACGACGAGCGGAAAGAGGGAGAGGCGGCGCACCTTCTCGTCCCACAAGCCGACGCAAGGACCGTGTTGCCAGCACTTGCACGTGTCGCACTGGATCATGAGGCCCGACGCCATCTCCTCGTCTGCGTACGCGAGGGCAGGGTCAGCTCTCTGGCTCGCGAGCCTGGGCCCTGGCGGGCAGGGAGGGAGGGAGGACAGGAGAAAGGTGGACGCACTGTCCTCGCCGCACACGCAGCGTGTGACGCCCCCATCGCCCTCGTCGCCCTCGTCGTCGTCGTCGTCATCATCGTCGTCGGCTGCACCCAGGTCCTCGCCCGCCTCGAGCATGTCCTCCTCTGCAAGCTCGCCGCCGACACCGAGCTCCTCCTCACGCAGGCTCTTTTTGCCGCTCGTGTTGCGCTTGGCGCGCTTGGTGAGGGCGGCGGCGGTGGCCGAGTCGTCGTCGGCGAGCGCGGCCGAGGCGGAACGCTTGCCGGCCGATTTCGAGGCGGGCCCGGTCGAGGCGGGTTTGGCAGTGCCCTTCTTGGCGGGCTTCTTGCTGTTGCCCGTGCTGTTGGGCGGGGTCATGGTGGGAGCTCGACGAGGTGGTGGGCCCGACGAGAGGCGGCGAGTCGAGGCGAGGGAAAGGCGGGGTGGGGGCCTGGCGACTCTGGCGGCGACAAGGTGTGACGGGTCGTGTCGTGCTCGAGGGGGCGGAGTGAGCTGCAGGTGTGCTTGTCGAGGTGGTCTAGCGCTGCCCGCTGCCGTGTCGAGCGAGGGAGGGCAGGGCGGGAGGACGAGCCGGGGCGAGGTGGCTGGCGGGCGTCGGGCGGTGCGGGTCGCTCGCTGGCGGGGTGTGGTGGCTGCGCTGGAGAGCTGGAGCGAGCTCGCGGTGCTGGCAGAGCTGCTCGAGTGTGTGGTGCGGTCCAGCCGGCGCGCCCAGTGGCCAGCTCGTCTCCTCGCGGCTGACGCTCGTTTCTTCTGCTCCCACCGGTCCAGGCAGCCTGCAATGGGTCCACACGCACTTTCCCATCTCTTCAGGGCCTTCTGCCGAGCGCGCAAGGCCTCTCGTGCCCCGTGGGCCGTTGCCGCCTCCTCCTGACCTCGCTCCCCCCGCAGATCCCTCACCGCACTCCCCTCGGCTCAAAGCAGCGCAAATGGCTGTGCAGCACCTGGGCAGCAGCTGCAGCAGCTCTGCGGTGCGTCCCACCTCTCTCGAGCGCGGTTGGCGCCTCTCCCCTCCCTCCCCCGCTTCCTCGGCCACTCGTCCAGCCTCGACCCCGTCGCCGCACGCCCACGCCCGCACCGCCCGCACGACCGCGCAGATGCATCTGCGCCCAGCCTGAGCCCGATGCTGCGGTAGATCGAGGCCGGCCCGTCATCGTCCGGCCGAGGCCGAACGGCTCGGACAACGTCAACGCTCCTCCTCCGCTCTCCCTCGCCGCCTCGTTCGACTTTCCTCCTTCCCACCCACACCTGCCCGCACACCACCATGGCCGCCAACACCGTCCTGTTCGAGCCGCTCAAGCTCGGCCGCCTCGAGCTCTCGTCGCGCATCGTCATGGCGCCCCTCACCCGGTACCGCGCCGACGACCAGCACGTCCACCACGAGCACGCCGTCGAGTACTACGCCCAGCGCGCGTCGTACCCGGGCACCCTCCTCATCACCGAGGCGACGTACGTCTCGCAAAAGGCCGGCGGCCAGTCGAACGCGCCCGGGTGCTACACCGACGAGCAGGTCGCCGCGTGGAAGCGCATCGTCGACGCCGTGCACGCCAAGGGCAGCTACATCTACCTCCAGTTGTGGGCTCTCGGCCGCGCCGCCGAGGCCGACGAGCTCAAGAAGGATGCCGGCGAGGAGGTCCACTCGGCGTCCGACGTCGCATTCGAGGGCGGCGACAAGCCGAGGCCCTTGACCAAGCAGGAGATCCAGGTGCGTCCTCTCTCTCTCTCTCTCGGCGTCTCGAGAGGACGCAGGCTCTGCAGCGTGACGTCGAGCCGACCCAGTACCTCTTTCCTCTCGTCGCAGGACTATGTCGCCGCGTACGCCTACACGGCCAAGCGCTTCGTCGAGGAGGCAGGTGGCGATGGATGCGAGGTACACGGGGCCAACGGGAAGTACTCCTCTCTCTCTGTGTCGCACCCCCAACTCCGAATCCTTCTCGGCCCCTCTCGCCGTTCTCGCGCCGCCAACCTCTCGCCGCTCTCGGTCGCCGAGCTAACCCTGCTTCTCTCGTGCGACAGGCTACCTCCTCGACCAGTTCATCCAGACCAACTCGAACAAGCGCACCGACGAGTACGGCGGCTCGGTCGAGAACCGCTGCCGGTTCCCGCTCGACGTCATGCGCGCCGTGACGGACGCCATCGGCGCCGACCGCACCGGTATCCGCCTCTCGCCGTGGAGCAAGTTCCAGGGCATGAAGATGGACCGCACCGACGACATCAAGGAGACGTTCTCGTACCTCGTCACCGAGCTGCGCCAGCGCCACCCGGACCTCGCCTATGTTCACGGCATCGAGTCGAGGGTCGCCGGCAACGAGACTGTCGACGTGTCGTACGACGAGCAGCTCGACTTTATCGTGCGTCCCTCCCTGTTTCTCTCCTTTGTTCGAGTCGAGCCTGTCGAGCGCGAGCCTGACCTTATCTCGTCGCCTAACCCGCAGCACGACATCTGGGCACCTCGCACCTTTCTCCAGGCCGGCGGCTTCACGCCCGACACGGCCGTCGACGCCGCGCGCAAGTACGAGAACACGGCCATCGTCTTTGGCCGCCTGTTCCTCTCGACGCCCGACATCGTGCGGCGCATCAAGGACGGCATCGAGCTCAACAAGCCCGACCGCGACACGTTCTACGTCAAGGGCCCGAACGAGACCAAGGGCTACACAGACTACCCGTTCGCCGAGTAGAGCGTCATCGACGGTTGCTGTAGATGAGGCCGAGCGCGCACCTGTGAATAGACAGTCCTCTTTCTTGACGCAGCGTGGTTCGAGAGCGAGAGCGCGATGGCCTGCAGCTTGCGCCGTCTGGCAGAGTCGAGCCGAGCGAAAGAAGGACTCGAGAACGACCTTCTCAGGCTGAGGGACCTCCGCCCTCTCCCTCTTCCTCTGTGCCGTCTCCCCTCTCAAGGCTTGCTCTCTAGATAGATCTCGCGACCCTCTCTATGATGCCGCCTCGTCAGTGCGAGGCGTTGAACCCTGGAATCCAAGATTTGTGCCTCTCGTCGTCCGCTCGAACCTCTTCCCTCGTCGAGCGAGAACGTCTCTCCTCCTCGCTCGCTCGTCTGCCGAACCACGACCTTGGTCGTCGTTCGTGGGCTGTGAGAGAGCCCGAGAGCGAGCAGGCTCGAGAAAGCGCGAGAAGAAGAGAGCACGGACTCGGCGACGAGGAGAGGTCGGTGCGGTGGCTGAGCCAGGCTCGTCGGCGCAGCTCCGTCGGGTTGCCTGGCTCGTGTCAGGGGAACGTGCGCGCGAAACGAGAGAGCGACAAGCCCGCTAGAGCGTCCCGTTGCACAGGGACACGGGAGAAAGGGAAGACGAGCAACCTCTCTCTCTCGCTCTCGCTCTCGCAGCGAGGGCGGCGTCAGGCTGTGGTTCGAGGTCCATTACCCCTGCAACCTCTCAACAGAGCCAGGGTACAAGGAGGAACAGACGCCCGCCCGGCTCCGTCGCCATCGTCGTCGCCAGTCCCGCCGACCGACCGACCGCCGACCCCTCCCAAACTCGCCGATTCCGAGAGCGCAGGGTGATGCGCTTAGAAGCGGAGCTGCAGAGGGATAAGAGGAGAGTCAGGACGCGCTCCATGCCGCTCGACGAGTCGACCGCCCGCGGCGTCCGACTGTCCACCTGCGAGAAAGAGAGAGGGGGACGCACAGCCGAGAAGAACCACCGGTTCTTGCCCTGGAGGTAGCGCTCCTCGAAGAGCTTCTTGACCTGCTTCTTGGCGTCCTCGCGGCTCGAGGGCTCCTTGAACGTCTCCGGGGCAACGACGCCCTTGAGGCCCTCGAGCTCGAGCGCGTAACGGGTCGGGAGGAGGTGGTTGTAGTTGACCGACTGCAGGGTGGGAGCCGTGGCGAGGGCGAGGGCGAGACGGAGGTGAAGAGCAAGAGGGTCAGTAGGCGGTCCTCGAGGTGCGGCAGGTGCGGGTCCACGGCGGCGTCGGCGACGCCTTCTCCGGCCCTCAAGCCTGACCCCCACCAGGTCGGCAGTTCTGCGCCTCGCGCGCCGTCTCGACGATCGGGCTACCCGCAGCACGGCGTACACCCTCGGCCGACGTCCTCGGGCTCGCCGCACCTCCTGCCGCCCGCTCACTCGCTCGCTCGCCACGACCCGCTTCTCCCGCCCGCCGAGCTCGCGCGTCTTCCTCATCGTCGTCTCGACGTGTCCGAGAGGAGCGGCGTATTCACCTTGATGAAGGGCTTGACCTAGAGGTGGGTCGAAGCCGGTGCGGGGTAGTCGAGGAGGGCGGAGGGAGCGCAGCGCAGTCGGATGCGGCGGGTGGACGGGTCGAGAAAGAGAAGTGGTGCGGTTTGTCGGAGACGAGAGGGGCGGGCGAAGTCGAGGGAAGGAGGGACGAGGGACAAGGGCAAGGTGAGCTTGACGGCACTCGGGGGCACGACGCTGGACGAGCGGGGGCGCACCTTGGAGCGCTTCTCGATGCGCTTCTTGCCCATGCCCTTGGTCACCTTGCGCGGGTAGCGGTCAACGCCCGCAACGATGGCGTGCGGGTAAGGACGCTCCTGTGAAGGGCGCGAGGTGGGTGTGGGACGAAGTCAGCTCTCGTTCTCGGGCTCGCGCTCGACTGGGCGCAGACGGGTGCGGGACGGGTTCGAGGTGGGGGACGCACCTTGGTGCCCTCGTCCGACTGGCGGATGACGACGACCTTGCGGCCGGCGTAGCGGCCAGAAAGGACCAGAGCGACCTTGCCGGGCTTGTAGATCTTGGGCATCTGTGCGGGTCGGGCGCGCGCGTGGATGGATCGGTGCGAGGTGTCGGGCAGAGGTACACGAGGGGCACGGGTGCAGGTGCGGCGAGGCGAGGTCGAGAGGCGAGGCGGCGAGGAAGTTTTGGAGGCGAGCAGGAGGGGGACGAGGCGGTCGAGGAGGGTCGTTCGAGGACGAGAGGGGAGGGTCAGTCTCGGGCTCTGCGGTGGTCGACAGTGCGAGGGTGACAGGGGTGTACCTTGTCGAGAGATCGCACAACCGGGGGAGCAAGAGGAGGGGTCGGCAGAGCTTTGCCCCTCGAGGCGACGCGCGCCTTCGCCAGCTCGCCCTCACGCCCAAGTCCCCTCGCCTCGTTGCTCCACAGCCTCGCACCGACCTCTGTAGTTCTTGCTGAAGCGTGCAATCTATCGAGACTGCCACTTGAAGCAACTCTCTCATCAAAGTACCCTCGCACAGAGGATGGCTGCAGCTGGAGAGGGCTCCGCCGTAGCTCGTCCTGTCCCCGCTCTCTCGCGCTCTCTCTCCCTGTCACCCACCGACTCGAACCAGTCGCGGCTGCGGATGCAGCTCGCCCACACCGACTCTGCCCTCTCGATCCCGCCGCCAGACCTGTACGCCCCGCCGCCGTCGTCGTCGCCGCCTCAGAGCCTCGTCGACCCGACCCAGGCCGCCCTCGCCGCCGACGACCTCGCCCGGTTGCGCACCTTGCGCGACGCCATCCTCGCAGGCCAGCACCCGCTGTACCGCGTCCCCGCCCAGCTCGTCCCGCTCCCCTACCGCGACGCCGCCATGGACGCCACGAGCCCCAACGACGACGACAATGGCCGCCCTCTCCCTCCCTCTTCCTCGTCCTACCCCGACCTGTACCCGGCCCACCACGCCGACTACGCCGACCACACCGACAGCACCGACTCGGGTCCGTTGCCCCTCTCCGCCGAGCGCCTCGCCGCCGTCGCAGGCGCCGCCGACCACACTTCGGACGCACGCTCCCTTCAAGCCTCGTCGCCAGACTCGTCCATCGTCATCGTCGAGCCCCAAGGCCCGCCCGAGATCCACTCGTACGAGCCCGAGTTCCGCGCCGTCAAGACCGAGCCCGTCGTCGAGCTCTCGCGAGCAGGAGCCACCACGTCGTCGTCGAGCGAGATCGACCACCTCGAGCGTAACCCGTACCCTGTCGAGGTCCGCCCTTCGGGCTCAAGCACCGTCACATCTGGTCCTGGCGCGCCGGTCGCTGCACTGCCCGCCCGAGTCGCGCGAGAAACCATCGTGCTCGCCTCCAGTCCGCCAGCTCAGCAGCAGCAGCCGCTTCCTGTCGTCGCACCCGTCGTCAACGGTTCCGAGACGGTCGTACCCGACAACGAGGACGACGACCAAGACGGCGACGTGCAGATGATCATCTCGTCGGTCGACTCGCACCAGCAGCCCGTCAACGCCGCGCCGTCCGCCAACGACACGACCCACGCCGCCACGATGCCTGCGCCCATCTCGTCTGCGTCTTCAGCGTCTCCCGCTCTCGCGCAACCGGTTCCTGTACACCCGCCGCACCCTTCTGCCCGAGCGGCCCACCCTTTCCCCGACAGTCACTTGCCGCCCTCGCCACCCATCGCCGACGACTCGCCCGCCGCCCGCGAGGCCAAGCTCCGCGCTCGCCTCTCGCTCGAGCGCGCCACCGCCGCCGCCGATGCGGCCCGCCTCGCGCCGACCGCCGGCGTCAGCGGGCCGCCGCCGGGCGTCAAGGAGACGCGCGGCGAGCGCAAGGACCGCGAGGCGCGCGAGGTCATGATGCGCCGCAAGCTCGAGCTCGAGCGCAAGGAGATGGAGTCGCGCCAGGGCGGCGGGCGTCAGCAGTCGGACGGGCCGGCGCCGCCGCCTCCTGCGCCCGTGCTCGCACCCGCACCCGTCGTCGTCGCGCCGGCGCGCGTGCCGCAGCCGCAGCCGCAGCCGCAGCCGAGCAAGGACGAGCTCGAGCGTAGAGACGGAGGGCAGGCCAGGAGGGAGGACCGCCCTGACGCTCGTGATCGTCGCGACGAGCGCTCGGACCCGCCGGCTCGAGGACCCGACCATGGCGGTGCGCCGCCGCCGCCGGGCTTCCGGCGCAGCGACGACGGCGCTCGAGGGCCTGCGCATGACCGCGACGGCTACGCGCAGGGCGGCGGCGGCGGTGGGAGGGGGCCCGAGGGCCACAAGCGTCGGCTGTCGTCGACGACCAACCGCTCGCCGAGCCCGCCGCCGTATCGTCGCCCGCCTGCGCCTTCCGGCGGCGGTGGACGCTCGCCGCCTCCTCCGCTCCCGCCTCACGGCTCGGGCTACCACGGCGGCGGTCCCCCGCCCCGCCGCTACTCGGGCGGCGTCAACGAGCGCCCCCGCAGCCCGCCGCCCCTCCTCGACCGCTTCAGCGTCCCTCCTCCACGTCCCGGCCCGCCGCCCTCGGGCAGGTACGACGACGGTCCGCCGCCGCCGCCGCCGCGTCGTCGCTCGCCGAGCCCGCCTCGCCGAGGAGGTCCGCCGCCGCCTTTCGACTCGCGCGACCGCGACTTTCCGCCGCCGCGAGGTGGTGGGCCGCCGGGCCCGCGCCCAATGCCGCCGAGGGACGCTCGTGACGTCCGCGACCCGTACTATCCGCCTGGACCGCCGCCGGCGCCGTCACGCGACCTGTACGAGCACGACCGGGACCGTGGTCGTGGTGGACCTGTGCGTCCCCTCCCTCTCTCCCTCTCTTTCCTTCCTTCCCTCTCTCTCTGTCTCGACGTGTGACTGACGTCTCGTGTCCTCTCCTCCCTCGCAGCCTCCTCCGCTCATCTCGCGCCGCTCGCTGTCGCCGCCTCGCGGTGGCCGTGGCCCGCCGCCTCCTCAGCAGGGCGGCTACGACCGCGGTCGCGAGCCCGGCCCGCTCCCGCCTCGTGTGCGATCGCCGCCGCCGTTCGGTCGTGGTCGCTCGAGATCGCCGCCGCCGTTCGCCGCCGGCGCAGCGAGGCCGCGCTCGCCGCCGCCGTTCAACAGCGGCCGCGCTCGCTCGCCGCCGCCGTACCCGCCCGGCCGGGGCCTGCCGCCGTCCGGTCCTCCTCGTGGAGGCCCTGCGGGTGGTCCCGGGCCCTACGACCGCCGCCCGCCGTCGCCGGGTCCTCCTCGCGGCGGGCCTCCCCCAGTCGGCGGCGGCGCGCCCTACGGCCGTCGTCCGCCTTCGCCGGGCCCGCCGCAGCGCTTCCCGCCGTCTCAAGGTTTCCCTCCCTCGAGTGGCCCGCCGCCGCCCCCTTCCTCGGCGCGCGGGCCTCCTCTCGACGGCGCAGGCCCAGGCGGCCGTGGGCGTTCGCGCTCGCCGCCGCCGAGGATGCCGCCGACGGCATTCGAGCGCGAGCGTGAGCGCGACATGGCCATGCGCGACCGCGACCGAGGCCGTCCGCTCCCACCTCGCGACGACCGCCGTCGCTCAATGAGCCCGCCTCGTCGCCCGCTCAGCCCGCCGCGCCGCCTCGGCCCCGGTCCCGGTCCCGGTCCTGCTCGTGGGCCGCCGCCTTTCGACAGCCGCGACCGCGACTTTGACCGTCGCGGCCCGCCACCGCCGCCGCCGTCGTCGTCGTACGGCCCCGTCCTCGGCGCACCCGGTCCTCGCGACCCGTACGAGCGCGAGCGCCCTCGCGAGCTCGACTACCCGCCGCCGCCGGGAGGCGCTCGCGGCTCGTTCCCGCCGCCGATGCCGATGCCGTCGAGCCGCACGCCCGCGTACCGCGACGATGACTACCGTCGCGGCGGACCCGGCGGCCCTCCTCCCCTCGGCAACGGCGGCGGCTATGCCTCGGCTCCTTCTCCTCTCCTGCCGCCTCTCGCACCGCCCTCGTCCGCCTACGGGCCGCCGCCGTTTGGCTCGTCGTCGACCTCGTCGGCGCTCGACCCGACGCTCGATTTCGAGGCCCGTGCGCGCGCACGCGCAGCGGCCGTGTACGAGGAGGAGCGCGAGCGCGGCCGGCTCGAGTACGAGCGCGAGCTGCTCAAGCGCGAGAGGGAAGAGTACGCGCGCGACGTCGAGCGCAGGGAGCGCGAGCTCGAGATGAGGGAGAGGGAGGCGGCCAACGCGAGGAGGCCCGGCGGTGGGGACGGCGGCAGGTACGACGACGACCGTGACCGGGACTATCGCGGTGGCGGAGGAGGTGGGCGAGGTGGGTACGGCCCGCCGTCGAACAGGGGCAGGGGCGCGCCTCGCGGGAGGGGACGTGGGCGCGACTGAAGGGTTCCTCGCGCTTCGTCTCTCCGTTCTTTCCGCCTCTCATGGACAACGTCTCTTGTACATCCCCATCGACCGCACTGCAATCTATTCCCCTTTGCTGTATCGTCGTACCCGTCCAACGAGAGCAGCCTGCTCGTGTCGGCGACGTCGAAGCGCTCGGGCCTCTCAGGCGCTCGACAACTCCCGCTCGTCCTTTCAGTCTCTCTCCATCCCCGTCTCTCTCTCTCTGTCTCTCCTCGAACGACGGCCCAACTGAGCGCCCAGGTCACTGAGCTTGCGGTTGCGGTGCGTCGAGCAGCTCGTCGAATCGTTTCCCTCGGCGGCCGGTTGAGCTAGATCGAGAGAAGGCGCTCTCGGAAGCTCTCGACGACGAGGGACGACGAACGACGCAGAGGGCCGTCGCAAGCGCGAGAGGAGAAGCTACTGTACCGCAGACAGCGAGCGAGCACGAATGCCAAACCTCTCGAAACGGGCGACGCTGCCGAGCTTTGCACGACAAAGAGTGTTGCGCTCGCAAAGACGACGGGTAACATCTACCTCAAACACGCAGAGCCCGGGAACCGAGACAGGGATAAAGGAGGACGAGTCCCTGCTCATGCCGTCGCGGGCGCCTGGTCCTCCGTCTTCTTGAGCGGGACCGCCTCGGAGAGCTGGGTCGTCGGGACGCCAAGGTGGATGAGCCTGTGGGGAGGAGAAGCGAAATCGAGTCAGGGCGCGGTCGGCGAGAGGCCAGAAGAGGAGGTCGCGAGAGGGACGCACTTGGAGAACGCCTTCGAGAAGTCGCTGAAGAAGGCCTGCTCGTCCTTGGCGTACTTCTGCGAGTACTTGCGGAACTCCTTGTCGGTCGTGAGCGCCATGTCGGTGCGGAGCATCATGAGGCTCTTGTCCGACTTGTTCTCGAACCTGCGCGAGGCGAATCTCGTCGTCAGGAGGGGCTCGTTCGAGCTGAGGGAGGCAGGGACATGATGACGCACTGAGGAGGGCCCTGCCACTTGCGCTCCTGCCACTTGTCGTCGTACAGGAGACGGTAGTACTCGTTCGAGAACGTCGCTGCGGGAGAGGGTGCGGGTCAGGCTCTCGAGTCGGGCGCCAGGAGGAGAGGAACTGCGGGACGCACTCGGCGAGTACTGCCACGGGCCGTCGAAGCCCGAGCGGTCGGCGTGGCACCGGCCGAGAGCGTGTGCGCCCGAGAGAGCGACTGTGAGGGGGGCAGAGACAAGTCAGGAACGAGGTCTTCCAGGGAGGGCTGCGAGGAGGCGGGATGGACCAATCTCCTTGTCGTCCATGCCCATGCGGTAGAAGATGTTGCGGATGTGGTCGGCGCCCTTGTCGCCGTCGGGAAGGCGGCCGTCGGGCGTGCAGTTGTCGACGTCGCCGTCCTTGCGACCGGCGCGCCACGGGATGTAAGGACCGCCGGCCTCCTGGATGGCGCATACGCCGGCGAGAGTCTGTGTGCGACACAGAGTCAGTGACTGGAGCCTCGATGTGGGCGACGATCGAGGGGAGAGAGAGCGAGAGCGCACCCAGAGGTCCGAGTACGTGATCTCGGGGAACTTCTGCTTGATCTTCTCGAGGTGGTTGCGGGCATGCTCGAGACCGGCGTTGGCGCCGTGGTTGGCCTCGGGGGCGAAGCGCATCGTCGCGCCGTTCGAGCCGCCGTTGCCTGTTGCGCCGGGAGGAGAGTCAGGGCGATCACTCGAGAGGGAGAGAAAGAGGACGCTGAGCGCACCCGTGTTCTTGTCGTAGGTGCCCGAGCAGTGCCACGCGAGACGAACGAGGACAGGGCCGTACGAGCCGTCTGCAGGCGAGAGCGAATCAGTCGGGCGACCTCGACTGGAGGAGGAGGAAGAAGGGGGACGCACCGTCATACTTCTCGTCCTCGAGCGACTCGGCGATCGCGTTGTACACCTTCTGGTAGTCGACCTCCTTGGTGCTGGCGGCGTCCTTGACCGTGCGGGCGTCGTCCGAGTCCGGGCGAGCGTACAAGTAGAGCCCGCCACCGACGACGCCGACGCCGAGGAGGCCGAACAGGAGGCCGCCGTTGCCGCCGGCCTTGGGCGCAGGTGCCGCCGAGGCGTACGAGCGACGAGCCGACTGGCGAGCAGCCTGGAGCGGGGCCGCACGGGCGGCGAGGCGAGGGGTCGCGCGGAGGAGGGACGAGAAGGACATGGTGGAGAACGTGTGTGCGGCGAGAGACGGCGTGCTGTGGGCGGTCGAGGGAGTAGGTTAACGATCTGCGCCGTGTGCATCGCCTGGATGGCTGCGAGCGCGGCTATCGAGAGGGGGAGGGGAGGCGAAGTGGGCGTGTGGGGAAGGGGAGGCGGAACGGCGAAACGAGAAGCTGGCGAGAGGCGAGGGGGCGCACCTGATGCGGTAGCGTGTGCTCTGCGTGTGGCACAGAGAGGCGCAGCGAGTAGCGGTGAGGCGGAGGAGGAGAGCGAGGTCGACGCCCGCCTGGCCACTCGCGCCTCGCCGATTTGTCACTGTCGACCGCCTCGCCTTTTCCGCTCCACCTGGCTCTCGTCTCCCGCAGCCGCGATGCTTTGAGCCCCTGCCAACAAGATCATGAGAGTGTGAGCCCCGCCTCGAGCTGACTCGGTCGAACGTCCCTCGCCTTGTCCGCTCAGGCCTCTGCGCTCTCCCACAGCCGCCGCGCTCGGTGGTACTAAACCAGCAGACGTCGAGAATGGTACGAGGGCGTCTGACAGCTACTGGGCGGACGCTGGCGAGCTGCAACGAGAACCGCCGAGCGGTCCTCAGCTCGCGCGCGCGCGCCACTCTTCCGCTTTTCGCCCTCTCTCGCCTCGCTCTCTGCCCCGGCTGAGCTGCTTTCTCGACAGCGACGTGCAGCGGAAATGCGCCGAGAGCAAGGTGTGCCCGAGGGTACGTAAGTGAGAGAGAGGAGCGAGGGAGGAAGCGAGAAGAGGTCGACGGCATGCGTGTTGCGTGCGCCAGCAAAGTAGGGGTTTCCTTTGTCAAACGAGGCTAGACTTTCCGCTTCCGGACGAGCAACCAGTCTACGGACTGTGTTATACATAAAATTGGAACGATACAGGCGAGCTCTATTCTCAAAGCTTAACCACCACGCACCGTCGTGAAACTAACCAAAACCCCTCGCATTCATCGTCTATAGAGAAGATTAGCATGGCCCCTGCACAAGGATGACACATGCATGTCAGAAGGGTTCTCCTACGGGAGCAATTTTTTTTTTGAACCGCCCGGCGATCCCGGACTCATTTTTCGACGTGCGAGAGGCCTCAGAGCACTCCTTGGCCCTCTCGCGCCGGCAGAAAGCGTGCTCGCAAAGAGGAGAGCAGGAGCCAGCGAGGCGAGGAAGAGCGGACCTCTCGGGTTGAGAAGGTCGAGCGCGACCGTCCTCGGCGCGCTCCTGCGATGCGCGGTTCTCCCCAGTCGACGCGGAACAGACAGCTTCGACGAAGCTAACGCCCTTGGAGCTTGTCTGACCGTCGCTTGACATCGGACCTCGCAATCCTCGAGGCCCGCTTTCCCTCGCCTCGCTCGCTCCTGCTCTCCTCTTTGCGAGCACGCTTTCTGCCATCGAAATAATAGGGCCAAGGAGTGCTCTGAGGCCTCTCGCACGTCGAAACAAAGCCCGGCCCCGTTGAAGCGAAAGTCGGCCGACGCATCTCGGCGGACGACTGCGCGCTGCCCGAGACGAAGCTTCCTGTTCGTAGTCGAAGCTCAACTGCTCGAGAGACGACGAATGCGAGGGTGGGTGGTGCGCTGCCCGAGCCAGCCGGCGTCGCGAGGCTTGCGGACTTGCGCTCGAGCCTACGAGCTGCTTCGCCGCCTCTCTCTCGGGTTGCGGCGGCGCGCTCGAGCCTGCCCGCATTGGCGCGTCGCTCTCACGAGCCTCGTTGAGGAGCTTGCTCGACGACTGGCACCTCGAAAGTAGCGCAGTCGCGCGCGAACGAAGCCGCTCAACTCGAGAAGGTCGCGAGAAGCAAAGACAAGGGCGAGCGCGCACGAGAGCAGCGTCGACAGAGCTAAAGCAGCTAGATACACGACACGACACGTACACACGCCCCCTGACAAGCTACAAGTCCCGCCCTCTCGGCCGCAGCTCAGCGCCCAACGTCCTCGCCTCCTCGTCCTCCTCCCTGCCCACCGGTGCCGCCGCTCGTCCCACCTGTGGTCAGCCTCCCGCTCCCGTCGCCTCCTGCCGCCCACTTTTCGAGGATGCTGCGGTCAAAGTTGCCGTCGGCGGGCGCGCGCTCGTGCGTCGCCTCGAGGACGACGCGCGGGATGATGGCGTCGCCGAGCGGATGCGTCGCCGCGGCGCGGAACGCCTCGAACCACCGCGAGGCGCACAGGCACCACACGCAGGGCTCGGGCTGGGCGGCTGACGAGGGTGCCGGGGTCGCGGGAGGGGTGATCGGGGCCGAGGGGGAGGGCGAGGCGGGTTGGGCGGCGCGCATCGAGGGGAAGAGGGGCCACAGGTCGTTGCCGCGGCCTGCAGAGAGTGTCTGTGTCAGTCGAGAGGCCTCAACGAGTCAGGCGAGCGACCACAAGAGGCTGCTCGCCGTCGATAGAGAGAGGGAGCGGTCGACGCACTCTTGGAGAAGTCGAGGAACTCGGGCGTGACGACGGCGGCGACGGTGTGGCTCGCCGGGTCGGCGGGCGACGCGTCGCAGTAGTTGTTGCGGAAGAAGCCCGTCTGCGGGCCGTTGCCGACCGGGGCGGGCACGAGAGGGTTGCCAAAGACTGCGGGCGCGCGAGAGGACGCAAGAGAGGGTCAGGGACGGATGCTCGTGCGGGCGTGCGGCTCGGGCGCAGGGGTGGCTGCTGTCGGTGCGACGAGGATGCTCGAGTCGGACGGGCGGATCCGGCGAGTTGGAACGAGGGGCGATCCCGCGGTGGTGACATCAGGGGGAGGGGAGGCCAGTGGCTCGGGTGCTCGAGGGAGGGGGAAGGGTGCTCACTGTTGTTGCGCGGGTAGAGAGGGAGGCCGCCGAGGGTGTCGCCGTCTCTCGGGGGCGTTGTGCGGGTCATTGTTGGCGGACGAGGGGGCGAGTGCGAGGGCGGGAGTGGGGCGTGCGAGGCGTAGCGGCGGGTGAGCGTGTGGGCGAGCTTGAGGTCGCGGGGCATGCAAGGCAGGGAGGCAGCAGAAGCAGAGAAGAGCGAGAGCGAGAGAAGGCGGGGGTCGGTCCCACGCAACCCAGAGCTGGAGCAACCCCGACGACGAGCGTGAGCGAGGACGAGCCGACGACGACCACGACCCGCCTCGATCCTCTCGCTCGATCTACTGCTCTCGAACACGCCCCATGAGCTACCGCCAGCCCCCACCCCACCTCGCAGCCGGCCGCGCCCAAGTGCGCTACAACGACGTCGACGCTCCTCCCTCGAACCACGACCGCCGACCACCCGCACCAGACCGCTACCCCCGCGGCTACGACCGCGACTCGAGGGCCCCAGACTACCACGCCACCGCGGGCAGGGACTACGACCGCAGGAGGAGCAGGAGCCCTGTCCGCCGATCTGGACCAGGCGCGCGAGCAGATGAACCCAAGAGGGACCGCCCGAGGGCCTACGACTACGACGACGACTACTACCGCAGGGACGACCGAGGTGCGCCCCGTCTTCCTCCCCTCTCTCCCTCGTATTGGCCTCGCTCATCTCCTCCTCGTCGTGCTGCCGACAGACCGCCGCCGTTCGCGCTCCCCTCCTCCACCACGGCGCCGCGGATACTCGCGCTCGCCTTCCCCTCCTCCTCGCCGCCGACGCGACTCGCGCTCGCGCTCGAGGTCCCGCACCCGCTCGCGTTCGCCGCCGCCCGCACCTCGAGACCGCCGCCGCGACGACAGCGACGAGGCGGCGACGGACGCCAGGGGCAAGGCGCCGACGGCCGACGATGCGGCGCAGGTCGCAGAGGAGGACATTGCACGCATGATGGGCTTTGGCGGGTTCGGCACGACCCAGGTGCGCCCCGTCTTTTCTCTCTCCAGCCTTTGCGTCCGGTGCAGCAGCGCTCGCGACCGCCAGAACTGACTCAGTACGAGGTCGACGTGTACACAGGGCCAGCAGCACGACGACAAGGTGTCGGCCGTCTCGAAGAAGCAGAAGCGCGAGTACCGCCAGGTGCGTCTGCTCCCTCCTCGCTCGTCTCTCTTCCTCTCCTCGGCAGAAGCAGCCAGACTGACCTTACCGCTCCCACGTACAGTACATGAACCGCAAGGGAGGGTTCAACAGGTGCGTCCCCTCCTCCTTTTCGAGCTCGAGGCAGAATGGCGCCGTTGCTCACCCTCTCTCTCTCATTCGCCCACAGGCCGCTCGACAAGATCCGGTAGCCGCGCCTCGGCTCGCAGAGCTGTGCAGCAGGAGGGAGCGGGCGTGCAACGCGTTCGTTCATGGCCGCACGGTCCGAGAGCGCGCAGTGAGGAGCTTTGGCGACGAGCGGATTCTCTCGGCTTCGCTCTCGCGCTGCGGTCCGTTGGTCCTGTCTCGAGAGCAGAACTGTGCGAGCCCGACGAGCGAAAGGCTGTACCGGGTTGCGAGTCCGGGCACGGCGAGGAGGTCGAGCGTCGCGAGCGAGCTCGACGAGCACAGTGGGAGGTGTGAGGGGCTGCGCGCGCGTGTAGGCGGCCCCGTGCTGCTCCCGAGCAGTGTAGCGTGCGAGAGCCAGCCACAGAGAGCGGGTGTGGGCCAGAACAGCTCGTGGTCGTCGAGCGCGATGAGAGCGAGGCGCAGTGGACGCCCTCACTCTCCCCCTCACCCCGCTCGCCCACTCGAGCCATGGCGTCCATGCCCAGAGCCGCAGCACGGCCATTGCGAGCCAGCGCACCCACCACGACGACCCGCGCCGCGTCGACGGCGGCCCAAGGAGCTCCTCGGCAGTTCTTCCCCGTCCAGTCGTCGCCCTCGACCCCGATCCGCCCGACCGCCAAGCCGCCCTCGCGAGAGTGGTACACGGCCCGCCCTTCCCTCACCCAGACGCTCGCCCACCTCGATGCCGCCCTCACCCAGTCGCGCGCCCACCTGTTCCGCCAAGGCCTGCTCGGGTCCATCTCGCAGTCGGTTGCGCACGACGCAGAGTTCCACGCCGTCCTGCCCCACCCGCGCCAGCGCAGGTGGAAGCCCGCCAAGGACATGGCGGCCTACCTGCGCACCGGTGGTCAGCTCAAGTCGAGCCAGTACAAGCGCCTCACGGCCGCCCTCGCCGGCCTCGAGGGCCTCGTCCCGTACGCCCGCGTCGCCGACTCGCTCTCGCTCGACGGCGCACTCGACTCGAGCTCGAGCCCGCCCGCACTCGTCGTCGACCCCGTCGCGCTCGCGACCGGCCGCGCGTCCCCCTCGAGCTCGACCTCGACGTCGGGCGACAACGGCGACTCGGCGACGGCGCGCGGCGAGCCGTCGCACGGCCTCGCGACCCAGCTCGAGCAGCTCCTCGCGCGGTTCCAGCAGCCGGCCGCCGTGTCGTCGACGGGCGTCGCGCTCGAGCGCGTGAGCGGCCAGGCGCGCCGGCTCGGGACCCGTGACGAGCACGAGCGCGTGCTCGCCGTCGGTCGGCGCAAGGAGAGCGGCGCGCGCGTGTGGATCGTGCCCGCGTCGTCGGCAGCGTCGGCGTCGGGCGGCGCAGACGTCGAGGCGGCCGTCGTCGACGATGCGACGGGGCCGCTCGGGCGCGTCGTCGTCAACACGCTCCCGCTCCCGACCTACTTCTCGCAGCTGCCGCACCGCGACGCCGTCGTGCGCCCTTTGTCGCTCACGTCGAGCCTCGGCGCGTTCAACGTGTTTGCGATCGTCAAGGGCGGCGGGCAGGCGGCGCAGGCCGAGGCGGTCGCCATGGGGTTGGCGCGCGCGCTCGCCGAGTGGGAGCGCGGCGAGGTCGAGGCGGGCAGGAGGGAGGAAGGGATCGTCTCCTGGAGGGACATCCTCAAGCGTGGTGCGTCCTCTCTCTCTTTCTCGACCCTCCCCTCGCGCATCTCTCCCTCCCCGAATCGCGCACTGACCCTCTCTCCCGTCCACCTTCTCCTCTCGCGCACAGCCAAGCTTATCGAGCGGGATCCGCGTGTCGTCGAGCGCAAGAAGACGGGCCGCGTCAAGGCGCGCAAGATGCCGACCTGGGTCAAGCGTTAAAGCGAGGCGGCGCTTCCCTTGTCGGTCGGGGCAGGAGCGAGGACGTGCAACGCGCTCAGTTCCGCTCTCGAACATTATTTCCTCGCGGCGAGCGCCGGTTGAGAGCGAGAGAGCGTGTGGGCGAGCGACAGCACGACGAGAGAGCCCGCCTACGCGAGGAAGGGCTTTCGGCGGACGAGGACGCTCTCGAGTAGACAGAGGCACTGCTATGGTTTTCATGACGCCCACGAGGCGCGCCGAGAGGGAGGAGAGAGGGTCTACAGAGCCGGCAAGGGCAGAGGGAGGGGGATCGGCCGGCGAGGGTGCGAGAGAGGGGAGGAAAGAGGAACGGCGCGCGACAACGAGGCCGGCGAGATCATGCGAACTGGGCGAGGGGACGAGAGAGAGGGTCAGTCGGGGTTTGTCAAGGAGGCAGGAGAATCCGAGAGAGGCAAGAGGAGGGACGTACGGTGGACAAGTACGACTCTGCGACGATGCGTGCTCGTGCGTTCATCGAGAGCTTGGCCTCGGAAATCTCCTTGTCGACGACTGTGAGAGGGGTCAATGGAACGTCAGTAGCGGTTCGGCGGCAGTCGAGAGGGAGAGAGACGGGCGGCGCACCCTCCATGAACCTGCGCAGAGAGGGAGGGTCAGGTCACGCCGACACAGAGCGAGAGGAGAGACAGAGGGTGCGCACTCGATGATAAAGTCGACGAGCTTGTGCTTGTACATGTCCTCGACGTTGCGGTTGGTGACGAGGAACGAGATGTCGTAGCCCTGGACGGGCACCCGGCGGAGGATGACAAAGGCCTCGGCGCGCATCATGAGGAAGCGGGTGAACTTGTGGGCGAGGATGCGCTCAATGTCGTCGGCCTGCTTGATCTTGATGCTGAGCCGGACCGAGTTGATCGAGGGCTCGATGAGGACTTGCTCGGACGCGTTGCGGGCGATGATGAGCGGGGTGAGGAGGACCTCGGGCGTGGACCTGGTGGGGTGTGCGAGGGTGAGCGACTGTCGGTGGGAGTGCACAGGTGAGGGCGAGAGTGGGTGCGCACTGAGCCTCGACCTCGGGGACGTTGTGCCGCTCGACGACCTGAGAGGGGAAGGGTTCGAGGGTGAGGGCGGCGGTGAGGGTGCTGCGGACGGCGTTGAGGTAGGGTCGGAGGGTGTTGCTCTGTGTGGATGGTGTGAGTCAGTCGCAGTGCTCTCGCCGAGCGGGGACAGGAGGGAGAGCGAGGTGGGGGCGATGACGGGGCCGAGGAGGAGGAGGGGGGAAAGAGCGGCTCACCATGATCGGCGTTTGGCGAGGGTGGCAGTCTAAGAGGCAGGAGAGATGGTCGAGCAGCTGCTGGCCTCTGTACAGCGAGAGCGGGGCGAGGAGCAGAGGATGGACCAGAACCAACGACCGACCTCGCTCCTCGCCCTCGTCGTCGCCGCCCACTAGCTCGAGCGCGACGCCAGAGAAGCACCTTGTGCAGCACAGTCGCAGGTCATGGAGGTGCGCCCTCGTCCCGCTCGCCTCGTCTCTCTCCCACTCGTCCTCGAGCTCACCTCGTCCTCATCTCCTCCTCGTCCACCTTCACTCGATTCGCACCTCCAGACCCTCAACGAACGCGCAGGCTTCCTCTGCAACTACGAGGTCCTCGCCATCCTCCGCCAGCAGCGCGACGACCGCCAGACCCGCATCAAGACCCTCCAGCAGCAGCGCAAGAACGGGCCGCGCGCAGAAGAGTTCGGCACCCGCGACGAGATTGAGCGCATCCAGCCCCAGGACCTGCACACCGTCACCTTCGAGGTGCGCCCCACGTCTCCCCTTCCTCAGCGTCCTCGAGCGAGACACTGACCTCGTCGAACCTCGGACCCTCTGCCCCTCCTTGTGCACCCCCTCGCAGGCCCTGCGGTACCTCGAGGACAGCGTGCACCCGACCCGTCGACAGACGGGCGACGCCGTGTCGACCCTTCTCGACGAGCTCGAGCAGCTCCAGCTCACAAAGGCCGAGCGCCTCCAGGTCGTCAACCTCGCGCCGACGTCCCTTGTCGAGCTTCACGTCGTGCGTCCTCTCTTTCCCTCTCCATACCAGCCGGAGTAGCGTCTTCGCAAGCCTTGACCTGACTCTTTGCCGCCCCGCAGTGCATCGAGGACATTGTCGAGCGCTTCGACGACGCGCAGCAGGAGCACCTCCTCTCGCTCGTGCGCTCACACCTGGGCGCCGAGTCGACTGCGACGGCCGCCGCCAAGCAGGCCGAGGAGGAGCGCGTCGCGGCTGCGGCCACCGCGATGGACGTCGACGGGCCCGACGGCGTCGACGAGCGCGAGCAGGAGGCGATCCAGGACGACGAGGGCCTCGTCGACGAGAATGAGGCGTGGACGAGGGCTGGCGACAATGTCGAGGACGACATTGACGAGGTCGCAGGTGCGTCCTCTCTCTCTCCTTCTCCCGATACTCCTCACGAGCTCGGCGACTGACTGCAACTTTTGTTCTCCCCCTTCCCTCGCCCTTTCCCCTCACCACCCCGCCCATCTGCCTCGCTACCTCGCTCTCGATGCCTTTTGGTCACCCCCTCGGCTGCAGATTGAGCGCTGCTCAGCTGGCGAGCCACGCGAGGAGGACGAGGTGACCCGGCGTGCAGGAGCTGCTGTGGCGCGGACGGACTAGAGCTCGACGGGAGCAGTGTTGTTGTAATCGTACTCGAGCGCACTCTTTCTAGACTAGAGCGAGCGAGAGCGGGTCTTTCACGCTCGAGGTGAACACAGCGGCCGCGAGGAAGCGCGACTCGGCGAGGAGAGGTTGATCGACTCCTCCTCACCTCGCTCTCGCCCCCTGCACCCTCGCGAGCTCCACCAGCCATGGCTCCACGCCCCTCAGTCGCCCCTCGTGCCCTCTCGGCCGGCCCCCAAGCCCTCCCAACCGACCCGGTCCTCGTCAAACGCCTCAAGTCGGACGCGCTCGCCGAGCACTTCCGCTTCGCGCCAGAGACGTTCGCCAAGGGCGGCATGGACCTCGCCAACCGCACCATGTACACCGCCACCGCCAAGGTCGAGCAGAGCCTCCAGAAGCTCATCGAGGACGGCGTCCCCGGGTTCGATGAGGACGAGGTCCAGCGCGTGCGTCCCTCTCTCTCTCCCCAGTGTGAGCCGCGTGCAGGTTAGCGACGGCGGCACTGACTCTAATCTGGACCGTGCAGGGCGTGTACCGCCTCGAGACGCTGCTCGAGGACGCCATCGACACCCAGTTCGACCTGTTCGAGATCTACGTCCTCCGCAACACGTTCACTTTCAAGGACGAGCTCCTGCCGTACCTCGCCCTTCCTCATCATGTGCGTCCCGCCCCCTTCCCCTGTCCCACTGCGCGCCCCTCGCTAAGTGTTGCCCTCCCCCACCTCGCAGGAGCACCTCGACTCGTCGCTGCGCGGCGCCGACGCACCCGCCCTCGAGGCGTACGAGGCCGAGCTAGCCGCGTACGAGCACGAGCTCGAGGTCGAGCGCGAGCTTGCGGCCGCAGAGCTGTTCCTCCAGGCCAAGGTGGCGCGCGCGAGGGAGACGGCGGAGCTCGTCGGGTACCTCAAGCCGCCTGGTGCGTCGGCGCCTCGCTCTCTTCGCTCCCTCGTGGTCTGTGCACGTCGCACGGACTCTGTGGGTTCATCTGCAGGTCGACCGAACTCACACTCCTTGCCCACCCGCAGGCAAGCTCGACCCGGCCGCCCCACCTCCTTCGACCGCCGCGCTCCTCTCGACCCAGCTCACGGCGCTCCAGTCCCGCCTCACCGACCTCCTCGCGACCCCAGCTCCGCCACCTCCCTCGTCCGCCGCTCACGATGTCGGCGCCGCCATCCCTGGCGCGCCCTGGTCGGCGAGCCGCAGCGCGTTCGTCAACTGGGCGGCGGCGGCCAAGGCGGGACCTGGAGGAGCGAGTGCGGCGGGCAACGCGGCGGCGAGGGGCGCGAACGAGGACGCGACGGTCGAGGGCCTGAGGCGGCAGGCCGAGGAGACGGGCAGTGCCGGCGACGCCAAGGTGCGCTCTCACTTTCTCCTCTCCTCTCGTGCGCCCTCAGTGGTTCCTGACTCGTCGCTCGTCGACCTGCAGGGTCTGCTCAGTCTCGCCGGCGCGAGCAAGTGACCGTCGTGGCGCTCGTACCCCTCTGTGTAGCTCGCCCTCGAGAGCGAGTCTTTGTACGCTCGCGTGTTGCAACTATCAGTCCGTCTCTCTCGCAGGCGCACTCGAGAGAATGTACAGGGCACTCGAGTTGCAGAGAGAGTGGGGACCTCCGCTCTAGTTGAACAGCTTGGTCGACGACATGCTGCCCTCGCCCGCCTTGCGCAACACCTTGGCGACGGCGAGTTCAAAGTCTTCCTGCGTGACGTGCTGCCGACGCTCGCGCAGCGCGTACATGCCCGCCTCGGTACAGATGCCGCGCACCTCGGCGCCCGAGCAGTTGCCCATCTTCTCGGCGAGCGACCGCAGGTTGATGCCGCGCTGGAGCGACATCTTGCGCGAGTGGATGCGCAGGATCGACACGCGCGCTTCGGGCCTGCGGGGAACGTGTCGAGGGTGTCAGGAGGAACGGCTTGATGCGGCAAGGGAGAGAGAGAGAAGAGGGACGGACCCAGGAGGAGGAAACTCGATCTTGCGGTCTATCCGACCGGGACGGAGCAAGGCCGGGTCGAGGATGTCGATGCGGTTGGTCGCCATGATGACCTTGATGTTTTTGGTCGCCTCGAAGCCGTCGAGCTGGTTGAGGAGCTCGAGCATGGTGCGCTGCACCTCCGAGTCGCCGCCGCCGCCGCCGCCGCCGCCGCCGCGGCTCGAGCCGATCGAGTCGATCTCGTCCATGAAGATGATGGACGGCGCGTGCTCGCGCGCCATGACAAACAGCTCGCGGACCATGCGCGAGCCCTCGCCGATGTACTTCTGCACGAGCTCGGAGCCGCTGACGCGGATGAAGCGGCAGTCGGTGTGGTGCGCGACGGCGCGCGCGAGGAGCGTCTTGCCCGTGCCCGGCGGGCCGTACAGGAGGACGCCTTTGGGCTGGGCGATGCCGAGGGCGTCAAACAGCTCGGGGTGCTTGACGGGCAGCTCGATGACCTCCTTGATCTCCTTGATCTGCTGGTCGAGGCCGCCGACCATCTCGTACGTCGAGTCGGGCACCTTTTCGACCATCATGAGGGCGACGAGCGGGTCCTGCTTGGTCGGGAGGATCGAGTGGAGCTGGTCTGTGTGTCGGCGGGAGCAGAGGTGAGTTTCGGTCGGACGGGGCCAAGGATGAGGAGGGAAGGAAGGGAGGGGACGCACAGGAGTCGGAGCGAAGGGCGACGCGCAGGTTGGGCGTGAGCTGGCTGATGGTGATGTTGCTCGCAAAGTCGACGACTGGGTTCTCGGGGCGAGAGTGAGCCGCTGGACGAGGTGCGAGGAGAGGGAGCGAAGGGGGGCGCACCGTATTTGCCCTCGGGCTGGACCTTGACGAGGACCTTCTTCTGGCCCATGACCTTTACGACCTCGCCGACGTAGCTGCCGGGCTCCTGGAGGAGCTGGAGCTCCTCGCGGAGGAGGCGGACGCGGGCGTTGAGGGCGTTGCGCTGGGCCTCGAGGCGACGGAGGTTCTGGGTCTTGGCGTTGATGAGGTGCTCTGCGGCCGAGATCTTGTTCTCAAAGTAGGTGGTGACGCCCTTGCCCTTGCTGCTGTTGGGCAGGGGGAGCGTCGAGGGGAGCGACGGCATGTCGAGAGGGGGGCGATGAGGAGGGAGGATGGCCGAGGGTTGCGGGCGCCGGTCGAGGTGGTGCGGGTAGAGCTGGTGGGACGTGCAGACCTGGCCCAGCGCGTGTCTGCTGTGCTTGTCTCGAGTGAGGAGGAGGAAGAGGAGAGAGCTGACGGTGACGACGCCTCGAGCCTCGTGCGGCTCTCTCGACTCGAGCCTACGCGTGTCGAGCACAGCGACGAGCATGCTCTCGCTCTGGCTCGCCTGCGCCGCCGCAGCCTGCGTCGCAGCCACCGCCCCAGACTCGGCTCCTTCCCCCGCTCAACTCGCCTTCACCGCTCCACCACCACCACCACCACCGCAACAGCTCGACCACGCGCACCAGTCCCACCTGTACAGCTTCGAGTGGAACGACCGCCCAACATTCGAGCGAGCGGCCCGCCTCTTTGACGCCGACGACATCGACCTCGCCTTTGCCGGTCGCCGTTCGCGCAACCGCCAGCAGCCGCCGCACTGGCAGGCCATCGTCCGCCTCGATGAGCACCCGGGCCACGCCAACACGCTCGACGCCGTCGTCGACCGCCTCGTCGAGCTCGGCATCGACTCGCCCGTCGCCGGCCACCACCTCCCGCTCGCCGCCCACCTGTCGACCCTCGACGGCTCGACCTCGTACGCCCGTGCCCTGTCGGCCGCCGCCATCGCCAACCTGTCGTCCTCGTCGCCCCTCGACACGGTCGGCGGCGGCATCCACGACACGTACCACCCGTACGACGGCCTGCACGCCATCCTCGTCTCACTCGAACGCGCCTACCCAGACTGGGTCCGCGTCATCAGCGTCGGCAAGTCGAGCGAGGGCCGCGACATCTGGGGCGTCAAGGTCACCAACCACACGTCGTCGGCCACCGCCCCTGTCGACGACGAGGAGGACGACAACGACGACGAGGAAGGCCCGTCGCCGCTCGTCTTCTCGACCACGTCGTCGGGCTCCAAGCGCCACAAGCACAAGCGCAGCCACAAGCTCGGCTTTGTCGTCTCGGGCACGCAGCACGCCCGCGAGTGGATCGCCGCGTCGACCGTCCTGTACCTCGCACACGACCTCGTCGCGCCCGACGCTCGAGGCAAGACGCCCCACCACAAGCTGCTCAACAACGTCGAGTTCACCTTCATTCCCGTCGTCAACGTGCGTCGCTCTTTCTTTCCTTCCTCACGTCGGCGCGCCGCCCTGACCGTCCCTCTCTCGTGCCCACAGCCCGACGGCTACGTCTTCTCGTGGGACCACGACCGCCTGTGGCGCAAGTCGCGCCAGCCTGTCGGCTCGTCCTCGCCTTCTTCGTCGTCAGCGACCGCCAAGACGTGCTACGGCATCGACCTGAACCGCAACTGGGGCAAGGAGTTCCAGCGCGGGGCGAGGCCCAACCCGTGCAGCGACAGCTACCCGGGCCGCGAGGCGTTCGAGTCGGTCGAGCTCCAGGCCCTCAAGAGCTACCTCCTCGACGAGTCGAACCACGTCGACGCCTTCTTCGACGTGCACTCGTTCGGCCAGATGCGTGCGTCCCCTTCTCGCCTTGGCCCCCCTTGTTCGAGTGAGCGACCTGACACTGTCCCTGCCCGCCCACAGTCCTCTTCCCCTACTCGTACTCGTGCGACGTCCGTACCGCCGACGAAGAGAACCACTACGAGGCAGTCCTGCAGGCGGCCAAGGCGCTCAAGGGCGTCCACGGCCGCCAGTTCGAGACGGGCAGCGTGTGCGAGATCAGCTTGACGAGCCCGGGCATGAGCCTCGACTGGACGTGTGCGTCTCTCGCGTTCTCTCCCTCTTCCTCTCTCTCTCGGTCGAGCCTCTCGGCACCGCCTGACTCTCCCGCCCTCCCCCTCTCGACAGACGCGAGCGCCAAGATTCGCTGGTCCTTTGGCGCCGAGCTTCGCGACGGCGGCGTCTTTGGTGCGTCCCCTCTCTCACTCTCTCTCTTTCCTGTCCTCGTCAAGACGAGCATGCTCTGACGCTCGCTCCCTCGCAGGTTTCCTCCTTCCGCCGAGCCAAATCCGACCCTCGGGCGAGGAGATGAGCGCCGCGCTGCGCTCGCTCACGCAGTTCATCCTCGATGTACGTCCCTCTCCTTTCACCGTCTCTCCAAAGCTCGGGCGAGGCCTGACGAGCTCGAGTCGATGCCGCCGTCGCAGAAAGAGGACGGCAAGCGTTGAGTTCTCGAGGGCGAGGGGCCGCTGTACTGCCTGTGTTCGAGCTGTAACGATGTCCACATGTGTAGCTTGCCTGTCGGCGTCGAGTTCGCGCTCGAGGAGAGCTGTCGGCTGTCGAGCGAGAGCGAGAGCTTGTCTCCTTCGACTCGAGCGTTTGAGAAGGCCGCTTCGAGAGCTCGAGAGCGCTCGCTCGCTTTCGTCGAGCCGCGAGAACAAGATAGTGACGTCGACATGCAGTACAGACTCTCTACGGTACACCGATACGCAACTGCTACAAGAGATGCCCTGAGCGCCCCAGACGACCCTCGCCGTCTCGCCCGACTCGCTCGCCGACTCGCTCGCACCGACAGCCGCCGCTGCCACTCGCGCCCGCTCACCAGCCGACGATCTCGCTCCCGACCGCCTTGCGCGCGCTGAAGACCCCCTCTGGATCCCACTCCCTCTTGACCTCGAGCAGCCTCGCGTAGTTGTCCTCGCCGTACCACACCGCCTGCCAGTCCTTCTCGTAGTAGTCGCTCTCCGAGGCGTACGACGCCGGCGGGTGCCCGAGCGACGAGGCGATCGAGCCGAGGGCGAGCGTGTGCGACGAGAGGTACGTCGAGAGGTGGTGGATCGTCGAGAGAGGGGCCGACGCGGGCCACGAGACGGGCAGGTCGATGTGCCTAAACGACAAAGGGCTCGTCAGGACATGGTACGGGCTAGGAGGCGGCGAGGACGAGGGCGCACAGGAGGGTGTTGCGCCACGCCGGGTTGACGGACGAAGGGAACTCGGGCTCGACCGAGACTGCGCGACCCGAGACTGCGACGGCGCTCAGGCGTCAGTGCCCGGTCTCGATGGAGGTATGAGAGACGAGAGACGAGAGAGAGAGGACGCACCGAGGTGCACGATGGCCGGGCTTGGCGACTCGGCGAGGAACGTCGCGAGCTCGTCCGACTTCTGCTCGACGACGTCTCGCGGGACGAGCCTGCCGCCGAGCAGCAGCGGAATGCCGACCTCGTCGAGCGACTCGAGCGCCTCGGTGAAAGCTGCAGGGCGTAGCGGGGTCAACAGCGTCGCAGGGCAGTGCGAGGAGGTCCGTGCGGCGACGACGACGAGGAAAAGGGACGCACAGCCGTGCCACAGGTCGTACCACGACTTGCGGACGACGTAGCGGAACTGGATGTCGAGGTCGGGGTCGTCCATGGCGGCCTTGAAGACGGGGCGGAAGAGCTCCTTGGCGAGCGTGACGTTGGCCGAGGGCAGAATGTAGGCGAACGGCGACTCGAGCGGGCGACGCTGCGGAGCGAGGGCTTCGTGAGCCTGCGAGGGGTCTGAGAGGAGAGGGAGCAGAGGACGCACGACGTAGGTGTAGCCGGCGAACGGCGCCGCGTCGCTCAGCACCGGCTGCAAGTCGACCCACCGCCGCACCATCCTCCTCCACGCCGCCTTGCCGCTGTCGCCGGTCGTGTTGGCGCCTGGACGCACGCCGAACGAGCCAAAGATGCCGACGAAGCCCGACGGCGCGTCGTGTGCCCGGAAGGCGACCGAGGTGAGGACGGCGAAGGCGGAACCGCCGCCTCGCAAGGCGGTGAAGAGCGACGGGTTCTCGTAAGGCGAGCAGTGCACGATCGTGCCGTTGGACGTGACGGCGGTGAACTCGAGAACGTCTGTGAGAGGAAAGAAGAGTGAGCTCGCGAACGAGAAGGCGAGGGGGAGAGAAAGACGGGGACGCACTGTCGGCTGCAAGCCCGAGATGAGGCGCCAAGGGACCATGACCGCCTCCCAGAACGTAGCCTCCTCCTGCAGAACGTACAATGGGTGTCAGTCGGCTCGCCAACATGCGCAGAAAGCGCTCGCGCGAGTGACCGAGCGAGAGGGACGCACCTGCACCGACCGTCTTGCTGACGCCGCCCGCGACGAGCACGCCCGCCTTGTCGGCCGCCTCGTACAGGTCCTTGACGATGGTCCCGGCGCCGACGACGAGCGCGCGGTGCGGTGGCGTGCCCTCGGGCGCGCCGTGCGGCACAAAGTCGGGCTCGAACCGCGTCTCGTTCAAGGCGTGGGTCCAGATCGTGAACGACCCGGGGTCGCTCGACCGCCCGAGGTAGTCGTGGCCCGTGTTCTTGACGCGGAGGCGCAGGCGGTGCTCTCGAGCAAAGGCGACGCCGTGCGCGACGTCCGAGTCGGACAGGGCCTGGAGGACGTAGGCGGGCGTGCGGTCGCCGGCGGTCATGGCTGGCGGCTCGACGAGCGCCGACGTGGCGGTGCGCAAGCCCTCGTCGGGGAGGAGGCCGTAGCCGTCTCTGCGAGCGGGGAAAGCGACGTCAGCTTGTTCGAGAGAGGGAGATGGAGGGGCGAACGAGGCGACGCACTCAAAGTTGAGGAACATGAGGCCCGCCGGCTGCTCGATGCGCCAGTGGGCATCGGTGCAGGTAGGCGGCACGCAGGGAAGAGGGCCGTAGGGGCGGATGAGGGTGCCGACGAGGGACGAGTTGAGGAAGGACCAGGCGTCGGGGACGGGCCAGCACGGCTGGGCTGGCAGGCAGTAGCCTGCGGTGGCGACTGCTGAGCTGCCGAGGACCTGCATGCGCGTCCAAGGAGGGGCGAGTGTGAGCGATCGAGTGGACGAGCGCCGAGGAGGAGAGGCGAACGAGCTCGACGAGCCGCTCGAGCGCAAGAGGGGGGACTGACAAGTTGTGCTGCGTCCATGTCGCCGACCTGGCGCTGAGCGTGCGCTGGCGCTGTGCTGTGCGAGCCGAGAGAGCGAGGAGCGAGGCAAGTGTACCGCGGTCGGGGCCCAGCGGCGGAGATTGGCCCAGCGCGCGAGAGTTTCCTTTCTCGCCGACGAGCGCGTCGAGGAGCGCCTTGTTTGGCTCGAGGGGAGGTGAGACTCTTCCCCGAGCCAGACGAGCCAACAGCCAGCTCCCGCCCTCGCTCCCTCCCAGCTCTCCACAGCCCTCGACAGAGGTGCGACGACGACCACCAGCACCCCGACTACCCACCAAGGGCACCCGTCAACGCGCCGCACCTGTCCTCGCTCGCGACCGCCGGCGCCAGCTCCCCCCTCGTCCGCCAACCAGCCTTCCCTTGCCCCTCGACCAGCGTCATGGCCACCACCCCGACCGGCACCGCCCAGGCCACCTGGGCAGTCAACAGCCGCTCCCACAGCCGCCGCACCGACACGGGCGACGCACCAGCTCCACCCGCCGCTCCGGTCTTCCTCGAGCAGCCCCTCTTCCTCAACGCCCTCGCCGGCCCCTCGAACCCGCACCACAAGCCCGCCCTCGCGCCAGCTCCAGCACCCGTCTCGGTCCCGATGCAGGCGACGCGCGTCCAGGGCCACACGGGCGTCCGCGCCGCACTCGCCCTCCTCCAGGACCGCGACCGCAACGTCGTCGCCAAGCGCACCGCCGCCGACCTCGCGCAGGACGACAGCTCGCCCGTCATCATCGAGGACCGCCCGACAAAGAAGCGCGCGACGGCAACAGCTCCCGAGCTCGCGGCGGCGGCGGCGGCGTTGACGGCGCAGGACGCACGCCGCAAATCGCGCAAGGCGACGGCGCAGGACAAGGAGAAGGCGGCGACCGAGAACCAGCAGTGGCGCAACAAGTTCCGCAAGGCGTTCCCGTCCTTCACGTTCTACTTTGACGCCATCGACGAGGCGACAAAGGCGTCGCTCGGCGCCCAGGTCAAGCGCTTGGGCTCGGTCCGTCCCCTCTCCTCCTCACGGCGCGACGCGCAGGACTGCCCTGACCCCAACCTCCCTGCTCGCAGTCGGTCGATCAGTTCTTCTCCAAGAAGGTGACGCACGTCGTCACGTCGCGCCCGGTCCCCTCGGCGGCGGGCAAGGAGAACGTGTCGGACTCGCCCGCGGCGTCCAAGGTCGGCGGCGGCATGCTTGAGTCGGCAGCGGGCAAGGTCAAGAAGGCGACGGCGAGGAGCCCCAAGATGTACGAGCTCCCGAACGGGCAGAAGCTGCGACCGTGCGTCCCTCGTCCACTCTCTCCTCTCTTCTCCCGACCGCCCGCAAGTCCTCACGCCGTGCCGCCCTTTACAGACTCGTCGGCGACTTTGACAAGAACCCGTTCATCGACTCGCAAGATATCCTGTCCAAGGCGCTCGACTTTGGCCTCAAGATCTGGCCCGCCGAGAGTGCGTCCATGTCGTTCCACCTTCTCGGCACTGCAAGTACGAGGACTGACCCTGTATACCTCGCCCAACAGAGCTGCAGCTCATGCTCACGCGCATCAACCACCACTCGCCGAGCAAGGAGAACGGCCTGCAGCGCGACCCGTCCCTCCCGAGCCTCCTCCGCGACGAGCAGCTGTACGGCACGCGCGAGCGCGACCCGTTCGTCCCTCGCACCGACACGCACTACTTCCCGTCGAACAAGTACTTCCTCCTCGTCGAGGACTCGACCGGCGAGCACCGCCCGATCGTCGCCAAGGAGTACGACAAGCCGCGCAAGCACGAGGAGCCCTCGTGGCCCATCCTGTACGGCGGCATCGAGGGCCGCACGGGCTTCTACCGCTACGACGGCGAGATCACGTACGAGCGGCGGGTCCCGCCTCCTGCGCCGCTCGTCGCGCCTCAGCAGCAGCAGCAGCAGCAGCAGGTCGCCAACGGCGGCAAGGGCGGGTTCGGCTCGGTCGCGGCGCGTGCTCTCGCGCCCAACCTGCGCCGCGCCGTCTCGCTGCAGAACGTCGCACGCGAGCAGGCGGGCAGGGCCGACGGCATCGGCGCCGGCGTCGGCGCGGCGGGCGCGCACCACCCTCGACGCGACTCGTTCATGGCGGCCTCGGGCAACAGCCAGACGATCACGTCCAACATCGCGTCGGCGACGTCGACGGCGGCGCGCTCGGGTGCGGCCCAGGCGAGCAGGTTCGGCGCCAACGGCGGCCTCGTCGACAAGCGGCTCGCCGTCCTGTCGAACCGCACCGTGTCGGTCGCCGGCAGCGGCCTCGCCGGCGGCGTCGCACGCGTCAAGCGCATGGGCATCCAGCGCAGCGTGTCGGTCGACGGCGGGCTCAACGGCCTGCGCGTCCCGGCGGCCGCCGCCGCCGCCGTGCGCGACGAGCCCAAGAAGCCCGGCTACTGCGAGAACTGCCGCGTCAAGTACGACGACTTCAAGGACCACGTCGTGTCGTCCAAGCACCGCCGGTTCGCGCTCAACCCCAAGCACTGGGTCGAGCTCGACCGCCTCCTCGAGAAGATCGAGCGCCCGCTCGCGGCCGACCCGGTCGGCGACCAGTACGACGACTCGGGCTTCTACGACGCCGTGTGCCGCAGCGACGGCGGCAGCATCGCCGACGAGGACGAGGACGATGAGCCGCAGGAGGAGGACGAGTACAAGCTGCCCGTCGCGCTCTCGTCGGAGCACCTCGGCGACCCGGCGTTCGACGCCTGGATCAAGCAGGTGGCTGAGCGAAACTTTGAGGAGGACACTCGCCTGGCGGCACGAGCTGCGGCGAGTGCGGGCGGCCTCTGAACAACGTTCTCGTCGTCCCACCCCTTCTTCTCTCCCTCTTTCTCCTTCTCGCACTTCTCCCACTCGCAACTTTCTAGGCCTTCTCGCTCAGTCACCCGTCCTTTTGTCCTATCCTCCTCGTCGTTCGTCGTCATACCCCTTCTCTCGACCGTTCGCTTTCACCCCTCGCCGCTTTGACCTCTCGTAGCTGCGCCCTCTCGCGGCCTGCAAGCTCTTTCGTCCACCTCGTCCCTCTCTCGGCGGTCGGGCACTGAGAGATCGACAGCACGGAAGACACATCTCTTTGCACACACGGAGAGAGAGAGAGACTATCCAAAGACGACGCCGCCTGCTTGACCTCGAGTCGACTCCTCCCACAGCGTCATCGTCAGGCTCGCCATGAAGCCGGGCAAGCTGCTTCTGCCGTCGAGCCAGAAGCCGATGCTCCGGCGCACCTCCTCGATGGCCATGACGGGGTCGTTGTGCGCCGACACGAGGCGGAACGGCATGGGCCCGCCGGGCCACGGGTCGAACGCGAGCGAGCGGTCCTTGAACGGCGCGTACACGGACGTGACGCGGATCCGGCCCGAATCGAGGAAGGCGAGCTGGTACCCGAGGAGCTTCTGGACGGCGAGCCGCATCGCCTCGGTCTTCTCGGTAACGGCCTGTGCGCGCGAGAGAAGGGGGGAAAAGGTCAGGGTCGGCTGCGGTGCGACGACGACGACGACGGCGGCGAGAGAGGCGTGCGCACCTGCGAGATGCGCTTGAGGAGCGTGTCCTTCTGCTGGATGTCGCCCTTGAGCTTGTCGATCTGGGCCTGCGCCGTCACGAGCGACTCGCGCGGGACGAGCTGCTGCCCGCTCGGACCTCCTCCCGCTGCGCCCCGCTCGAGGTCGCCGAGCCGAACGAGGAGCGCGCGGTTCTCGGCCTCGAGGCGCTCGAGCGTCGCGGCGCGGATGGCGTGCTCGACGCGGTCGGGCGAGTCGCGGAACTCGAGGACCTTGTGCGTCGTCGGGTTGTACGCGCCGCGAATGCCCTGGTTCTCCTCGAGCTGCTCGACCTGGACCGACAGCGCGTCGATCTCCTGCTCCATGACGGCGAGCTCATTGCGCGCCTCGTCGAGCTCTGTGACCGAGGGAAGAGAGGGGGTCAGGCGCTGTTGGCCGGATTCGCGGTCGAGAGGTGGGGAACGACGGCGGCGCACCTTGCTGCAGCGCCTCGTTGAGCCTCAGCTGCTCCTGCAGGCTCTCGCCCACCTGCCCCTTGTCCTGCGCCGCCGAGTGCGCCGCCTCCTCGTGCGCCTCGAGCTGGACGATCTCGGTCGTGTTGCCGCCGTACCGCTCGACGAGCCCTCGCCAGTGCGCGATCTGCCCGGTCAACGTCGTCACCTCGCACTTGTGCGCATCGAGGAGGTCCTCGAGCTCGGCGATGCGGGCCGTCTTCTGCGCGTCGTAGTTGCCCGCGTGCTGGATCGCCTCCTCGGTCGTGTAGCTCTCCTGCGAGCGGGACAAAGGGGCGAGTCAGGCCGGTTTCACGAGCTACCCCCCGACGAGGAGAGGAGAGCGAGGACGCACGAGGTGCCGCTTGAGCATGGCGACCTCCTGCCGCAAGAGCCCGCCCTGCGCCGAGTCGGTCCTCGCGCGCTCCTTGACCCGCTCGAGCTCGCGCCGCGCCTCGTCGAGTGCGGCCTCGAGCTCGGCTGCGCGCCCCTCGAGCGCGCCGACGATGCGGTCGCGGCGCTCGACCTCGAGCGCGTGCGAGTTGAGCCGGTCGCGCAAGGTCGCGTTCTCGATGCGGACCGTCGCAAGCGACTTGGTGATCTTGCGCGGCGACGAGAACGTGTCGGTGTCGTCGGGCTTGACGAACGCGGCCCTGCAGGCAGAGAGAGAGAGTCAGGGAGGAACTCGACGAGGACGCGGCAAAGGGAGAGGGAGCGCACCAGTCGGCCTTCTCGCGCCTGAGCACCTCGAGCTCGACCTCGTGCTGCGACAGGAGCGCCCGCAGCGCCTCGGCCGCCTTGACCTTCTTCTCGAGCGCGCGGTTCGTCTCCTTGAGGAGCTCGACGTTGGCGTGCTGCCGCTCGTACGTCTCGACGCGCCGCTGCAGCTTGCCGTTCTCTTTCTCGAGCGTGCGCAACGTCGTCACTTGCCCTGTTTGACGGAGAGACATCGTCAGTGAACGGAAGGAGGAAAAACCGGGGCGAGGGAGAGAAAGCGACGACGCACGATGCAGCTCCTCGCGGATGACGTGCGAGTCGTCCGACTCCTTGGCCCGCGACCGCTCGCGCTCGAGCTCGGCCTCGACGGCTACGCGCCGCTTCTTCTCGCTCGACGCCTCCTCGAGGTACTGGTCGGCCTCGGTGCGGAGGCGGAGCATCTCGGCCTCGAGGAGCTCGGCGCGCTTCTGGCGGTCGTTGGCCTTTGCGACGGCCTGGGTCGCGGCGTGCTCGAGGTCGGTAAAGGCTTCTTGCAGGTCGGCGTTGTCGTCCTTGAGCTGGCCGACCTCGGCGCGGAGCGCGCGCACCTCGCCCTCGAGCCGGGTCTTGTCGTCGCCCTCGCCCGACTCGCGCGCCTGGGCGCGCTCGGCCGCCTCGCGCTCCTTGGCGAGGAGGACGGCGCGGTGGCGCTCGAGCTGATCGACGCGCGCGGCGTACTCGGCGAGCTGGGCGGCCGCCTTGTCGGCGGCGGTCGAGGCTTCCAGGGCGGTGCGCGACGAGGCGTGCTTGAACTCCTCGGCCTGGGCGAGCGCGCGTGCGAGTTGGCGCTTGAGCGACGCCGTCTCGGATTCTGTGTGGACAGATGCGTCAGTAGAGGTCAGGGACCGGGCGAGGGCCTGCAGAAGAGAGGGGACGAACCTTGCTGTAGATCTGCCGCGCTCGTGCGACGTTTGACGCCCGACACGCGCGACTCTGGACGAGCTGATCCCGGCGCTGCAGAGAGAACAAATCAGATCGTCAAGGCTGGGCGACGCAGAGAGCGTGGGACGCACTGTCGAGGACGGAGCCGCCCGAGATGGACGGACGGCGAGTGGGGAGCCGCGAGGTGGTCGAAGGCACGAGGCCTGCTCGACGAGGGACGGGTGAGCTCTCTCACGCAGAGAAAGATCGAGTGGACAAGGCGACGCACCGTACGAGCTGCTCAGGTCGCCGCTCGAGGGTCGGCGCAGGAGGGTCGAGGTGCGGCCGACGGTGGCCGGGGTGGGTGCCGCGTAGTCTCCTGGGCGAGGGAGAGGGTCAGCGGCGCGCACGAGGGGCAGTCTGAGAGAAGTACGAGTGCTCACGGCGCAACGGGAGGCGGGACGAGCCGGTGGTTGAAGGTGCTTGGCCTCGAGCTGATGAGAGGGTGCGCGACGAGACGAGCGGGGTCGCGAGCTCGTACGGCGGGCGAGGCCCGCTGCGGTCCATCGTGGCGGAGGTAGTCGAACGCTCAGGACCCAGCCAGGGCGGACCACAGCAGAGCGGTGGCTCGAGTGGGCGAGAGTGCGCTCCCCTCTCCTCCTCGTCGTCGAACCTGGCGCTCGCCCTCTTGCTCCACCGCGTCGCGTCGCTTGCGCTGTACCTGCACCTGCACCTGCACCTGCAGCATACTATCTCCTCGTGTCAGCACACCCACACCCGCCCTCGCCTCGACCCGCCGCCGCACCTGCACCTTCCTTCGTCCCCCACCCTCGCCGTACGCCTCCTCGCCACGACCATGACTTCCAAGCTTACGTTCGCCACCGTCGACACGCTCGCCACCACCTTCGCCACCACCTTATCCATACACCTCGCACCTCCATCCACCAGCACGCCCAAGTCTCTTGACTACAAGCTGCGCTCCGTCCCGCTCGTGGGAAACTGGAGCGTCACAACGACCCGGCATGACACCTTCTTTGAGCTCTCCGTCTCGACCGACGCCGCGACAGTCGGGTACGAGCCCCTCGCCCTTCACCTCACCGTCCGCCTCAACGCCCTCCTCGACGACCACGACGTGTTGCCGATCGCGCACGGCAACTTGCTCCCGCCGCACATCGGCCAGGTCCGCCTAGTCGTCAGCTACGACAAGCTGCGCGAGCTCGAAGCGGCGTCGGACGGGCGCTACTCGGCCGCCTCGCATCGGGCGTACGACCTCCGCTTCGAGGTCAACGTCCACCAGGGCGTCCCGCTCGTCCACCCGCAAACTCTCGTTCGTCGCCTACCAGGTGCGTCATTCTCGACTCTGTCAACTGTTGGCGCCCCGGACAAGCCCTCACGAGTGCACCTCGCCCGCAGACGAGTCGGATCGGCCCACCCGGGACGCGGTCGTGCGCCTCGCCTTCGCCGCCGCCGGCGCCGAGCCATTCGCCGAGCTGTGGACATCGTAGGCCTTCCTGTCGGCCTCGTCGCCGTACTTCAAGACCCTTCTGCGCTCGGGCTTCTCCTAGAGCGTGCGCAAGGCCTCGAAGCGCGCCCGGACCTCGGCTTCGGCGCGCTCGTCAACGACCGTCGAGGACGGCGACAAGAACTTTGCCGACTCGGACGACGAGACAGACGTCGCGCTCTGCGAGGACAAGGCGTCGCCCCTGTCGCTGCATGACGTCTCGAACCATGCCGACCTTTCCTACCAGGAAATCGTTGTCCGCCAGACCGCCTACTCGACTTACAGCGCCGTCCTGCGCTACTTCCAGACGGGATTCCTCCGGTTCGCCCCTCTCGCCTCTTCGTGTCTGCCCGTCCTCGCCAGCGCCAAAAAGTCGCGCGCCGACCTCGTCAAGGAGCTGCGCGCCGCCCAGCCCTCCCTCCCCATCCCCGTCTCGCCCAAGTCGACCTATCGCCTCGCGCACCTCCTCGGCTGCGAGCCCTTGCAGCAGGCGTGCCTCGCCGAGTTCGGGCGGCAGCTCTCGGTCGACAACGCCGCGCTCGAGCTCTTCGACAACGCGTCGCAGGTCTACGCCGAGTGGCGCAAGGTCGCGCTCGCCTACGTCGTGCGCGAGTGGGGCCGGGTCAAGGCGAGCGACAGCTGGCGGGACCTGCAGGCGAGGATCGCGCGCGACGAGATCCCGGGCGCCGCGCCGATTCTCATGGAGCTGCTCTCGGCTCGCGGGCGCTGGTGACGAGGTGAGCTGCCCCTTCCTCATCAGTGTCGAGGCGCGTGGCACACATGACGCATACTGACATGGCTGCCTCGCGCAGATCGACTTCCCGAGCCCGTCCTCGGCTTGGCCTCACGTTCTCTCTCTTGCGCCTCGCCTACTCGGCGGCCTCCTCTCGCCTGCCCACCCTCGCCGACAACTCGTGTCTCGCTCGCAGGTGCGTCCTCTCCCCTTCTCTCTCGTACCGCAGCCTGCCGCGGCCCCGGCGCCGACGTCGAGCGCAGCACTGCCTTGCTCTCGCCCTGCCCGCGCAGGAAGTCGTCTTTCCCGGCCCTCCTCCTCTCGTGCCCCTCGACGACCGACCGACGCTAGATGCGTCTCTGCGCGCCGGCGCGCTGCAATACCACGTCGCTCGCGTCAGTCCCGAGAAAGAGAGCGATCGCAGGTTTGGCCCGACGAGCGGTCTTTCTCAAGAGGGATTGAGAGTCAGGATGCGAGTGCGTGCTGGCAAGCTGGTTACGCTGTGCCGACGAGCGAAAGAGTGAGACTGAGAGGCTCGCGTGGAGATGCGCCGGCGACGAGGAGGGCGCTCCACCTCGCCTCGTTCACCCTCTCGCTCGCCTCGAGGGGCAGCTCGAGCTTTACACGACAGCTCTACGCAGCTCCCAAGGTCCATCGCGGGCAGCGCACAACCTCCAGGCCGTCCACTCGCCTCGCACCCTCCCCTCGGCCCTTGAACACCTCGACCGATCACTTCGACCGACCAACACCCGTGGGCGGCCTCGAATAGCAGCCCAGTCTCGCCTTCGCGAGCTCTCGCGTCCACAACCGCCACGCCCACAGCGCGCGACGCCGTGGCTTCCCTCCTCTCCTCCTCGCCGACCCCGGACTTCCGCCCCGCCGCCACCCTCACCGCCTGCACGCCCGTCCGCCGCATGTCCGCCATCGCCCGCGCCCTCACGTCAGAGGACGGCAGCGCCGTCCAGCTCCACGGGCGAGGCGAGAACGGCTCGCGCCTGGGCGTTCAGAACGGCGTCGAGGCGCCGGGCCTCGAGGTCAAGCGGCGCCGGTCGGCATCCGGTGCGTCGGTGCGAGGGCTCGACGGTGCAGCAGGAGCAGGTGGTGTGAGCGGCGCAGACGCGGCGCACGAGTGGGCGAGGCTCGGGACCGCCACGCCGCCGCACCGAGCCCTCGCGCTTGATCCCGCGAGCGCTGCGGGTCGGGACTCGCCCGAGTCGTACCGGGCACGGAGCTCGTCGGGCGCCAGCTACAACGGCGCGCACATGGTCGCGACGCCGCCGCGATCGAGCTCCATCTCGTCGAGCCAGCCGCGCCAGAACGGCGTCGCTCGCTCGCCCGCTCCTCCCTCGACCCCGCCCGTCCCTCGCTCGACTTTACGGGCCAGTCCGCCTCAGCCCGTCCTCAACCTCCCTGACGAGCCGCCACGAGCCGTCGTCGTCGACCGGCCGTCGATGGACAAACCGCTGCCGCCGGTCGTCCCGAGCGTCGACCAACCCTCGTCGATGGGCCCGTGCGTCCGCAACCGCACCATGACGGCGTCCAACAGCCTGTCGTCCTCCCTGTCGGCGGCCACCTCGAACTCGTCGCACGTCCCGCAGCGCAAGTCGCTTGAGCCTCCGCAAGGGCCCGACCTGTCGCCGTACCCGTCGAGCAGCGTCTCGTTCAACAGCTACACGGACCCGGACGGCGTCGCCGCTCTCGTGCAGCGCCTGTACGCGCGCCTCGACGAGAAGGGCGTCCACGGCGACGGGTGGGACGAGGGCAAGGAGCGCAGCCGCGACGGCATCATCCTGCGCGAGGTCGCCGAGCACGACGGCGTGCCCGAGGGCGAGCCCATCGTCGAGCCGAGGAGCGACATTGACGAGGAGGCCAAGGCCGACCACATTCTGCGACGCGTCGACCGGTGCGTCTCGCGCTTTCTCTCTCTCTCTGCGCGCTCGGACCCTCGCGCAGTGTCACTGACCTTGCGCTCCCACAGGTACGGCTTCTTCTCCAACTCGCACCCTGCCGCATTATCCTCCCAGCACCACAACATCTTCACTCTCTCGGCCGCTCCTTTCGAAAAGGTCCCCTCGACCGACCCCAAAAAGCGCTCGAGCAAGTCGGCGCCTCCCGCAGCGCCTGCGCCGATCCGCCCCTCGACCCGCAACCTCTCGAACCGTCACTCGACCATCTCGCTCCTGCCCTCGACCGCCATCTCGCCCGACGCCGTCGCCCTCGAGACCAAGCGCGTCGGCAAGTGGGGCGACATGCTCTCGGTCGCCAAGCGCGACCCGGGCGGCAACGCCCAGGACTGGGTCGTCTCGTCTGACTGGTGGAGCGGGCGTGTTCCAGGCGGCGGCGGCGGGCAGAGCGGCAAGTACCGCCGCCTGCAGCGCCGCGTCTTCAAGGGCATCCCGGACCGCTGGCGCCGAGCGGTCTGGGGCCTCATGCTCGAGCGCATGGCGGGCGAGGTCGAGGGCCACCGCGGCGGTGCGCCGAGCCTCGAGCGCCTGACGGCCGAGTACGAGGCGCTCGTCGCCGCGCCGTACGTCCAGGACGTGCAGATCGACCTCGACGTCCCGAGGACCATCTCGGGCCACGTCATGTTCCACACGCGGTACGGCCAGGGCCAACGCTCGCTGTTCCACGTCCTGCACGCGTTCGGGCTGCGGTGCGAGGACATCGGCGGGTACTGCCAGGGCATGGGCTCGCTCGCCGCCACCCTCCTGTGCTACTTTGAGCCCGAGGTGCGCCCGCCTTCCTCCTTCCTCTCGTCCCCTTCCTCAGTCGGTCACTGACTCGCCGTATCTTCTGCAGCGCGCCTACGTCGCCATGTGTCGCCTGTTCGACCAGTACCGCCTCGCGCACATCTTCGCGCCCGGCTTTCCCGGCCTGCACGAGGCGTGGCACGTCCAGCAGAAGCTCGTCGAGCTGCTTATGCCGGACGTACACGCATCCTTTGTGCGTCTCACCTTCCCCCTCTCTCGGCGGCGCCGTGTCGTGTCGACCTGACTCGCCTCGTCGTTCTCGCAGGAGGAGCACTGCGTCCACCCGTCGTCCTACTCGAGCAAGTGGTACCTCACGCTCTACACCAACTCGTTCCCGTTCGCGACGCAGCTTCGGCTGTGGGACGCGCTCCTCCTCGAGGGCGTCGACGTCCTCGTCATCATCGCCGTCGGCATCATCTGGCACTTTCAGCGTGCGTCCTCGCGCTCTCTTCTCTCTCTCTCCCTCTCGTACTCTTTGAGGCGTCAGGCCTGACTCGTTGCACCCTCTCCCGCAGACGAGTTCACGACGCCGAACGCCTCGTTCGAGAGCATCCTCACGACGCTCGGCGGCTACTTCTTCGTCGAGTCGGACGACGCTCTCCTGCGGTGGGTGCGCAAGACGCTGCGCCTCAAGGGCCTGCGCGACAAGATCAAGACGTGGAGGGCCGAGTACCGCAAGGACAACCCGCTGCCGGGCGGCGGGCACTAGCTCGCGAGCGAGCGAGCGAGAGGGCGGTCGCAGCCAGTTGGATCCCTCTTGTCGTTACATTCATCGCGTCGATTCGGCGCTGTCATACTATCATCATCGTCTCCCGACATCTCGAGTGTGACGAAAGCGAGAATCCCGAGAGCGCTTCTCTCGAGAGCGTGAGACGCTCGAGCCTCTCATGGTCGACGAAGATGGGCGACGACTCGCTCGAAAGGGTCGCGTGCTGCAACGGTCGAGGTCGAATGTCCATGTTGCTCTCTTTCTCGAGCAGGTCTACCCAGAGGTACAGGAGAGAGAGAGGGAGCGAGAGAGATAACGAGAGGAGGCTAAGTAACACAGGGGACGACCGACGAGAAACCTCCAGCTCAGAGCATGTCTCGCGTGTCGTACCGCTCGAGCTGCGACCCATCCGCCTCGTCATCGTCGTCCTCTCCGTCACTGCTGCCCGCGCTGCCGACCCTCCTCCCCAACTCCTGCCGACCGACGAGCGCCTCCTCCTCCCCCATCGCCTCGGCGTCTCGCGGGCCCCTCGGGTGCGGCACGCCTGCGCCCGTCCTCGCCGGCGACGCCTCGCGCGAGCCCTTGCGCAACGGCGACAACGCGAAGCGGCCTCGGCTCGGCAGGGGCGCCGTACCCGGCACGTCGACGGCTGCGAACGCCGGGTTGAAGTCCTTCTCGGCGATGTCGGGCGACGAGGGCGAGAAGGCCGAGCCGAGGCGCTGTGCGAGAGATTGGCGAGAGTGCGACGTGGAAGTGGGCGAGGCGGGCTGCTCGGCGAACGGGTCGCGGTAGGCGGGAGAGGCGAAGAGCGAGCCGCTCCGAGCGGCCGAGAAGTCGCCGGTTGCGGCGTCGCCAACGTCGCTCGTCGCGACGGGAAAGCTCGACTGGTGCACGTGGGTGCCCTCGAGGCGAGGCTGCTCGACGTGGCCGGTCGGCCCTTTTCGAGAAACACCGTCTGCGAGCGGGTGGACCTCGTCAGGGGCGCGCACGAGTACGAGGGCGACGATCCGCGACGAGCGGAGACGTACAGAGATGCAGGTTGTCGTTCTGCGCGAACTTGACGGCCGAGCTGGCTCGCGGCCGGCCGTCGAGGCTCGGAACGGGCGAGGGCAGGCCCGGCGACGCAAGGCCCGAGTGCAGAGAGATCTTGTCGGCGGCGTCGATGCTGCAGGATCGATGAGTCAGGCGCCGCTCACCGCAAGAGATCACGGAATAAGGAGGGAAGGAGGGACGCACGGCAAAGGCTCCTCGTGAATCTGCGCTGGCGCGTCGTACAGCTGGTACCGCGGAATGTTCTCGCTCGGCCCGCTCCCAGCTGCACCAGGCGCACCGGTCCTCCCCTCGCCGGCCCCTCGCCACCGCATCGCCATCTCGTCGGCACCGAACGGGCCCGTCGACTGGCGGCGGCGCGTCTGCTGCGACCGCATGGAGATGGCGCGGTGGATGGAGCCGATGGCGCCGCCGAACCCGCGCACCGTGTCCATGCCCGGGTCCTCGGCGTCGTAAGCCGACTCGTGGCCGGACCCGGCGCGAGTGGCGCGCAAGATGGTCGCGGAGCGCTTGTCGAGCAGGGCGGACTGGACCTCCTCGGGGTCGACCTTGGACAGCTGAAGAAGAGTGACGCCGAGCACGATGACGAGGAAACCGAGGACGACGTTGATGATGGACACGGTCGTCGCGCCGCTGAAGCCCTTGTTGAGGATGATGGACGTGATGAGGGTGCACGAGGTGAAGATGACGTAGTAGACGGCGGTCACGGCCGCCGTGTTGAACAGCTCGAGGGCTTTATTGAGGTAGTTGATCTCGAGGAGGAGGGTCGTGACGACGAACGCGATGAGGAAGTACTGCGACGGCGAGAGGAAGGGTAAGTAGATGCTCGTCGTTTCGCCTATACCGAGTGCGCTCGAGCCTCGCGATCGTCCGACCCGACGAGAGGACGAGAGAGTTGCGCAGGACAAGGAGAGAGAGGTGCTCACCATGAACCAGTTGCGCCAGGGCGTCGAGTCCGAGTTGCGGATCGACGAGAGGATGGACCCGCCGAGGCCGGACGTGCAGGCGACCGACAGGCCGCCGAGGAGCGAGCAGATGACGATGTAGACAAACATGTTCTTTTTGCCGTACCGCGGCGCGACGAAGAAGACCATGGCGGCCGCCGCGACGAGGCAGATCCCGCCCCACGTGAGGAAACCGGGCGACACGAAGAGGTCCTTGAACTTGTTGATGTCGGACGAGCCGTGCTCCGAAGGACCGTTGAGGGCGATGATGACCGAGCCGAGGATACTGCGAGGGTAGGGGCGGCCGTGAGCGAGGGCGGCGACGGCGAGGGGAGAATGGGCCGGACGCACCAGAGGACGCTTCCCAACCAGCCGAACGTGGTCAACTTCTCCTTGAGGAGAAAGTGCGCGAGAACACCGCTCGTGACGACGGCGAGGGAGCCCATGGGCGTAACCTGCTCGTCGAGGACGTCAGTTGCCGTTCGCCCGAGAGAGAGAGTGAGAGGAGGATCTCGGACGCACGAGGATGGCGTCGACGAATGAGTACGCGACAAGGTTGCAGACCTCGCCGAGGATCATGATGATCATGCCGGTCCACCACTGCGCGAGCCTTGAGTGTCAGTCGTGGCGAGGGCGCACGGCTCGAGAGGGGGGACGACGAGAGGGGGACGAGAGGGGCGACGAGAGAGGGGACGAGAAGGGGTGACGCACCAGCCAGCTCTTGAGGTACGGGTGGCCCTCTCCCGCGACGCCTCCCGTCTTCTTCTGCGCCGCCAGCAAGCCCTTCTTCTTGAAGATGAAGCTGGCGCCGATCAACAGGCCCGAGCCGACCGCGAGTGAGATTCCGATTGCCTTGTAGCTCGCCGGCTGGGCGTCTGCGCTAGACGACATGGCGACCGGGACAAGGGGAAAGAGGGTGTACTGGCGGAGGGAAGAAGGGTCGTCGGCTCGAGGCGGGAGGTCGGGCGTCGAAGGCGGGCGGCTTGTACTCGACGAGTTGGCCAGGCGAGCTGGAAGTCGGCGGTCGTGGACGGGCCTGCGTGCTGTACGAGGCCTGCGGTCAGCGGACTGTTGAAGACGCCGGCAGTAGGACGCCGGGGGGAGAGGGGTCGAGCGGACGCACCGGCTGCTCGAGCGACTTGGACAGCTCTTGGGGTCTGGGCCACTCTGCACTGGTGCACTGAAAGGCTGGAACGCGCGCTCGGGAGCTCTTGAGGGCGACCAAGGCGGTGTGGGCGACGAGACGAACGATCAGAGGCGCGTCGTCCGAGAGGCGAGGGAAGAGCGAGCGGGTGGTGGGCTGCGCTGTCGGCTCGGCGGTGGGTCTCTTGCGAGCTCTGCAGGTGGTTGCAGCTGCGACTGAGCGTGTCGCGGGCGTGAGGAAGCGTGGAAGAGCGCGCGCTCTCGAGGCGGTGCATCTCGCCGAACGACCCCGCAGCGACGTCTCAGAGAATCGCTCGCTCGCAGCCTCTCGTAGAGAACGGTCGAGGCAAAACGCGCAGCTAGTTGAAGCAGCCTTTTCTGGGACAGAAGAGTGTACAAAAGAGGAGACCGAGAACAAGTACACCGACGGGGAGGGGGACCAAGGACAACTGCGAGACGGGCGAGCGAGCTCGACTCGGGACGAGAGTCAAGCTAGAGGGAAGGGGTGGAAGGCGAGGAGGTAGAGGGGGCAGGACGGGAGGGGGAGGAGCGACCGCTCAGAGGATCTGGGCGCCCTTCTCGTCGAACTTGGCGCCGTCGGCCTGCAGCTTCTTGACGCACTCTTGCCCGACCTCGCTGCGGTCTGTTTATCGGGTGCGAGGTGGGTCAGCTGCCGCCCTTAAGATGGCGCGAGAGGAAAGAGAGAGAGGGGACGCACGGTGGCGGTGCAGAGCGTCGAGGCGGACAAAGTCGCGCTTGCACGGCGCGCAGTTGTACTTGCGCACGCCGAGGTGCAGGAGCTCGTGGCGCTTGCAGTCGTGGGCGCGGGCGAACGACTGGGGAGGTTACGGGCGTCAGGCAAGCCCGACACGGAGAGGGGGAGGGGAGGAAAGGACGACGGCGGACGCACCTTGTCGCAGTCCTCCTGAGAGCACCTGTACGGCTTCTCGCCCTTGTGCGCACGTTGATGACCTGCGAGAGCGCGCCGAGAGAGAGTCAGTACCGTCGAGGACAAGGCGAGCGAGGAAAGAGGAAGAGAGGGACGCACCTCGGAGGTTGTACCGGCGCGTGAACGTCTCGCCGCACAGCTCGCACACGAACTTGGCGACGGCGCCCGCATTCCTGCGGCGCTTGGCGGCGTCGATCGTCGCCTGGGTCGTCTTGCTCTCCTTGGTGAACTCGTCCTCGTCGTCCTCGGCAAAGTTGCCCGCCGTGCGCGCGCCGAGCTTGGCGCCCTTCTTGCCGCCGCCGCCGGACCCGGGCGCCTTCTTGCGAGCCTTGCCGAACACGGCCGGCGCACGCAGCGACGGCTCGGCCTGGCCATCGTCCTCGTAGTCGCCCTCGTCGTCGTCGTACGCGTCGTCGCGCATCTCGGCGTCGTCCTCGCCCTCTGCATCGTCCTCGTCCTCGTCCTCGTCATGCTCCCGCTTGAGCGCCGCCGCCGCAGCGACCGCCGAGGCCCGGCTGCGCTTCCTCGCGCCGCCGGCGCCCGAACGACCCGAACTCGCGCCGCCGGGGCTCAAGCCGCTCGCCGCCGCGTGCGGGTCTGGCAAGCTCGGCAGGCCGAGCGTGACCGGCGAGCGGTACGAGAACGGCACACGAGGGGCACCGTAAGCGCTGTGCCCGCCGGGCGAGACGCCGCCAGGCGAATGGCTCGAGCCCGCCGCCGAGGCGACGCTCAGGCGGCCGGCGCTCGGACGACGCTGCCCAAGCGCCGCGCCGTTCGGGTACGCGACCGACGACGACGACGTGGCCGAGACGGCGGCCTGCGCGACGGACGCGGCGTGCGCCTGGGCGGCCTGGGCGGCGGCGAGCGCGAGCGCGTTGCCCTGTGGCGAGTACTGCGGGTGGGCTTGCTGACGCGGCGGGTACATGCCCTGGGGCTGCTGCTGAGGGTGCTGCTGCGGCTGCAGCTGCTGTTGGTGCGGCTGCTGCGGTTGAGGTTGCGGTACCGGCGTGAGGATCGACTGGCCGGTCGCCGGGTCGATCGACGTGAGGTAGGCGACCTGGATCGGCACGCTCTGCCCGTTCGGGACGTAGTAGACCTGGTGCTGGAGGTGCGGCGAGGCGTCGGACTCGCCCTGCGCCGTGGACGAGCCCGTCGAGAAGGGCGGGAGCACGCGCTGCGGCGCGGCGGCGGCGGCGGCGGATGGGGCGCCGCCTGGTGGCGCGAGGTGGCCGTTCTCCATCGTGTACGTCGTCGACGGGTGCTGCTGCTGGTGCGCGAACGTTGCGCTGCCGCCGAGCGGCTGCGGGAACAGGTGGGTGAAGTCGTCCGACTTGGCCGAGCGACGATGACCGACGCCCTGGCTCTTGGCGCGCCGACCTCGCTCAGGCCCGACGCCGATGTCGAGGAGCGCCGCCTCGCGGTAACCGGGCCCGCCGCCGCCGCGCTGGTGGCTCGCCGTCGGTCGAGCACGCAGGGCAAGGTCGTACGACTGGAGCTGGACAGCGTCGGCCGTCGAGCTGGCCGAGGCAGTTGGCCCGTAGCCGGACGGCGCCGACGGCGGGCGGAAGACGTTGGTGGCGACCATCGAGGCCGGGAACGAGGGCGTGTTGACGAGCGCGGGCGGCTGAGAGGAGGAAGGTGGGAAGCCGCCGCGGTTCAGGTCGAAAGTCGGGCCGCCGTCTTGCGAGGTCGGCGCGAACGTGACGGGGCCAAGGCTGCTAAAGTCCATCGAGATGATGTCGGCCTCGGACTTGGACCGCTGGCGACGAGGCGGGCGAGGAAGGTCGAGCAAGTCGCGCGACGCCGACGCTGTCGGCTGGAGCGCGGCGAGCTGCGCAAAGTCGGCAAAGACGGACGACAGGGACGATGACGTCGAGGCGGCCGACGCCTGCTGCTGACCGCTTGACGAGGCGAGGTCGAGCGACTCGGGCTCGGCCGTGACGATCGCCTGGGCGAACAGGGGCGTGGCGGCAGCGCCTGCACTGGCGGCGGTCGACGACGAGGCGGTCGGGAGGGAAGGAAGGGAAGGGTAGGAGGAGGAGCTCTGTGACGAAGGGAAGGGACGAGAGGGGAGGTCAGGCCAGGTCAAGGAGAGCGGGGCACGTCCCGTCGAGGCGGCTGCCTTCCGAGCGCCCGCGGCGAAAGAGAGAGAGAGGAGAGAGGACTAACAGCAGTCTTGGCGGCCCACATGCCGAGAACGCGCTCGAGCTCGAGGGTGCCCTGGCCCTTGGGGCGGTCCTCGTCCTCGTCCGGGAGGGGCGACGGGCCCCTGAGCTGCAGCGCCGGTGCCGCCGGAAGGTCGAGGTCTTGCTGCGCCGGAACGGGCGACACGCTGAAGACCGGGGCGGCGCTCGTCGGCAGCGCGTCGGGCACGGCGGGCGAGCCCGTGAAGAAGGTCGAGCGAGTCGCCGACTCGGCGGGCGTCGCCGGTCGGGTGCGGACCTCGCTCGTGGGCGAAGCGATCGAGTTCATGAAGGAGGTGAAGCCCGACGACTGGCGCTTGAACGTGAACGGGCGGTTGGGGTCCTGGCGAGTCGAAATGGGCGATGGCGCGCGCCTGCGAGGGGCCGACACGGTCGCGTCGCCGCCGCGCTCGTTCTCGCTCGGTCCCGGTTGAGCGACGACACCTTCCATCGCCGGCGGCGCGGCGCCCTGGACGACAGGGTCGGCGGACATGGCGGCAAGAAGGCGAAGAGCCGGTGGTCGAGTCGGGGTGAGGGCGCAGGCGGAAGGAAGGGGACGGCGCGCGACAGGACAGGGGCGATCGACCGACGGCGAGCTGTGTAGGCTACTGCGGCTGTATACGACGGCTTCTGCATCGCGCGAATGCGGTGGTCAGCGCGAGGTTGATCGGGGGAAGAAAGAGGCGGTGCCCGGCGAGGGGGCAAGGGCGAGGGGCAGGGGACGAAGACAGGGAGCGTGGACGCACGTGCTCGGGTTCGACAGGGGCTAGTCGACGCTGCTGCTGGCTGTCGCACGCAGTCGGGTGCGCTGCCGGGGTCGGGGCGAGGGGAGGTGGGCGCCCCGAGGCTGTGCACTGGCAGGTGGTCGAGGACGACGAGGATGCACGGGGGCGAGCTGGTACTGGACCGGGTCCTGCTGGTGCGGCTGGGAGCTCGTCGACGAGCTTTTTGGGCCTTGGCGAGCTGTGGCTGGCGCGCGGAGGGGGGGTGACCTCGTCCCCCTCTCCTCGTTGGCTGCCGCGCCCACTGCGCTCGCGAATTCGCGACCCGGTCTCTCGCTCGGCTCTCCTGCGCTATGTGTATGCGTCCATCGTCTATCGGAAGTAGTAAGATGTCGCGTGCGAAGTAGAGCCGTCCGTGCGAGAGGGGTTTCTTCAGCCTGCTCTCGTACGAGCGCTCGAGCACGAGCAGCTCAGGTGCAGCTTGCCTGGATCGCTTTGGAACGACACAGTCTCTCTCGACATGCGACCAGGTCAAAGGAGAGAGGACGAGAGCGGATTGCAGAACTGCTCAAGGGCGCGCCCGACTCACACCCACTCCTCCTCGCCCTCTGGAAACAGGACCTTGCCTGGGTTCAGGAGATTGAGCGGGTCAAGCGCACGCTTGACGGTGCGCATGAGGGCGACGGTGCCCTCGCCGAGCTCGGCGCGCAGGTACTTGCGCTTCGTGAGCCTGCGAGGAGCACTCGAGACGGTCAGGCCCGTGCGCTCGAGCCGACGCCTCGACGTACGAGAGCTAGAGAAACAGACAACACACCCGATACCGTGCTCGCCGGCGCAGGTGCCCTCGAGCTCGAGCGCGAGCTTGACGAGCGCTTTGGCGAGGTGCTCGACCTCCTTTGGTCGCTCCGTCTCGCCCTCGGCGCCCTTCCACAGGATCGCTCGGTGGACATCTGTGCGGTGCGAGCATGTCAGTGCTCGTGAGCGCACACAGAGGGCCGGAAGAGGGGCAGACAGAGAGAAAGAGAGAGAGAGAGACGCACTGCCGTCACCGATGTGCGCGACGATCGGCGCAACGAGGCCCGAGCGCTGTACCAGCACCTCGCTCCGCGCGACGAACTCGGCAAGACGTGATATCGGGACGCAGACGTCGGTGATCTGTGTGCATGGCGAGAGGTGAGCTCGTGTCTCGACGACGGCGAGAGGAGCCGGGAAGGTGGGAAGAGGCGAAAGAGACTTGCCAGTGTGCGACAGCCTGCGCCGATGAGGAGCTGCTGCGACCAGTACTGCGACTGCGAGTGGGCGCAAAGAGTCAGTACAGGCTTCCCGGCACGGGCAGGACGACGAAGGAAAGGGAGGGCGGGCCGCACCTTCCTCGCCTTCCACAGCTCGTCGTTCTCCTGCTCGTTCTTGGCGACCCGCAGCTCTCGCCCACCCGCTCGCTCGACGATCTTGGCGACCGTCTCGAGGCTCGCGCGATTCACCTCGTCGCTCGGGTTCGAGAAGCGCATGAGGACCGTCGGCTCCTCGGGCAACTCGTCGGGCAGGATCTTGCTGAGGTTGAGGCCGCGGATCGAGGTGCCGTCGAGAAGCTCGAGCGACGTGGGCGTGAGGCCTGCGCCGAGGATGTCGACGACGGCGGTGACGGCATTGGCGACCGAGGGGAACGAGGTGAGGGCGACCTTGAGCGGAACGCTTGGCGCGAGGCGGACGGTGAGCTCCGTAATGATCTGCGAGGGGGTTTGCGAGGGTCAGTGAGAGTCGCGGGCGGCAAGGAGGTCCTCGTTCTCGGGTTGACGCACGCCGAGGGTACCCTCGCTGCCGAGAAACAGGCGGCCCGTGTCGAACCCGGTCGTGCTCTTCCTCGCGCGGTTCGTCCCCTTGGTGCGGATCACCGAGCCGTCCATGAGGACGACCGTCATGCCCTGGATCCACTCTGCCCGGAGCGTGCCGTACCCAACTGCGTGACGAGGGTCGTGCGAGGTCGTCAGTCGCGCGAAGGAGAGTCGAGGACGGGCAAGGGCAGCCCTTTCAGGCGAGAGGCGACAGAGGCGAGAGAGAGTGGACGCACCCGCATTCGTGCCGCTCCCTGCCACGCCCGCCATGCCGCCGAACTCGCTGCCCGGCGCCGGGTCGACGGGGAAGAAGAGCTTGACGCCGTCGCGCTCGGCGAGGTAGGCGTTGAGGCTCGCCCAGCCGACGCCTGGCTGCACGACGGCCTGGAAGTCCTGCGCGTGCAGCTCGAGGACGCGGTTCATGCGCGACAGCGAGACGTGGATGGTCGGCCGCGGCAGGACCACCTCGCCGGACGCCGCCTGCCGCCTGCCCGGCACGACGCCGTTCCACTGCTCGTGCACCGGTGGGCTGCAGCACGTCGGCGTGAACTGGCCCTCGAGCGCGGTGCGGCCGCCTGTCGGGATGAGGACGATGCCGAACCGAGTCGCGATGCGGACGACGGCGACGACGTCGCTCGTCGCGAGAGCGTGGAGGACGGCGGCGGGAGGTGCCGGCGGGAGCAGCGACCCCCAGCTCTGGCCGTGCTGCTGTCGCGTCGCGAGGTCGAGCGAGAGCTGGTGTGCGGGGAAGGTGGCCTCGAGGGCGGCGAGCGCGCCTGGCCAGTCGGGAGGCGGGGCGGTCGGCCGGGCGAGGTGTGACGAGAGTGCCGCAAGGCGTTCGTGAGCAGCCGAGTGCGCCATGCTGGGCGAGCGTGGCTGTGAGAGAGGCGAGCCTCGAGCAGCTGGCCTTGCATTGCTCCCCGCTCGGCCGGCTGCTGGGAGGCGAACCCGATTTCGGTTTGCCGCGCAAACCGCAAGAACGTACATGCGTCCGCCCGCAAACGCCGCCCTCAAGTCAAAACCCTTAGCTTGATCGGCGCGGGCGTCGGCCGAGCGGAGTCCGGTTCCCCTTGGAGAGTCCTTAGCTCGCTCCTTTTCACCCTCTCCTCCTCGCCCTCCTCGACTCTTTCGCACAGCTGCGATGGGCAGCGACCAACCTGTGCACGCTGCGCAGATGGGGGAGAAGCGCCAGGCCGCCTCGATCGCCCCGAGCTCGCTCGAGCCGCCTCACCAGCACGACTCGTCCACCTTCACGCCCGAGGAATGGGCTCTCGACAAGGCCGCCGTTCGGCGCCTCGACTACACGGTGCTGCCAGTCTGTGCCGTCGTCTACCTGCTCAACTTTCTCGACAGGAGCAAGTGAGTCGAGCTCTCGCGGCGCCTCTCCTCCTTCGACTCGACCTGACCTCTTGCTCCCTCCTCCCTTCCTCTCACAGAATCGGCAAGTACGCTCGACCTTTCACTCGATCTCTACCCCCTCTTTCGTCGGGACGCGACACTGACCTACTCACCCCATTCTCTCCCCTCCTTCTTCCCTTTCCTTCTTTCCCCCCTCTCTTCCGTCTCCCTGCTCTCCTCCCTCTTTCTCCTACAGCGCAAAGTGAGCCCCTCCTTCCACCTTACTATATGGCCTCAGGCGAGGGCGAGCGACGGCAGTCTCGGACCTCGCTGACCGCCTTTCCTATCCTCGTCCGCCAGAATCGCAGGGCTCGCCGTCGACCTCAAGCTCACGCCGCATCAGTACCTTGTATGTATTACCGCATCCTACATCTTATATATCGCAGCCGAGGTCCCGTACGTCGAGCCCTTCCATCGCGTCCGCCGTGCACCTTTCTCGTCCCCGCCGCTCACTTACCTTCCTCCCGTCCCAGGTCCAACCTCCTCCTCAAGAAGGTCGGCCCCAACATCCTCATCCCCCTCATGGTCACGACTTGGGGACTGTGCTGCTGTGCGTCCGCAAGTTGCGTCGTCGAGCGCGAGCCGTCATTGACTCTTTTCCCCTCCCAGGCTTCACGGGCTTCGTCCGGTCCTACGGCGACCTCGTCGCGGCCCGCCTCATTCTGGGTCTACTCGAAGGAGGTCGTGCGTCGATCCGTCCACTCGCCCGTCCTCTCGAAGCCGTTCTCGCCGCCGCTCACGACCTTCTCAACTCGGGCGCTCGCAGTTTTCCCCGGCCTCGTGCTCTATCTCAGCATGTTCTGTGCGTCTCTCCTCCTGGCCGTCTCTCGCGCAACCTCGTCACTGACCTCGCTGCCCGCAGACCGCCGCCACGAGCTGCAGACCCGCATCTCGCTCTTCTTCTCGGCCGCATCGCTTTCAGGAGCCTTCTCCGGGCTTTTGGCGGCTGCCATCGTCAAGATGGACGGGTTGGGGGGCAAGGAGGGATGGCGATACATCTTCTTTTTGGAGGTGCGTCGTCCGTTTCGCTCTGGTCGACTCGCTCGCGCCGGTTCTGGCCGGTCGGCTCGGTGCCGAGCGGTCGACTCGCTCGCGCACGGCGGAACTGTACTGATGGTCTCGTTCTCTGCAGGGAGGCGTCACCGTCGTCGTCGGCATCGCGTGCTTCTTCCTCCTGCCCCGGTCGCCCGCACACACGCGTTTCCTCACGCCCGAGCAGCGGGCGCACGTCGTCCGCCGCCTCAAGCTCGACAGTCCCGCCGGCGCGTCCAACGACTTTGACGACAAGTTCTCGTGGCGCGAGGTGCGCATGGCGGCGACGAGCCCGCACGTCCTGCTCATCCTCGTCGCGCTCTTCGGCAACGGCATCACGCTCTGTGCGTTTTCCGCTCCCTCCCTCGTCCCCTGAACGTTCCCCTGACCTCTCCCTCGCCTCCAGACGGCTTCTCCTATTTCACACCCAGCATTGTGAGCGCGTTCGGGTACTCGACGATCAAGACGCAGCTCCTCACGGTCCCGCCGTTCGTCTGCGCCTTCCTCCTCACGATGGTCAACGCCGTCATCTCGGACCGCTACGGCCGTCGAGGACTCTGCGCCATCCTCATGAGCCTCCTCGCGCTCGTTGGCTACATCAGTACGTCCCGCCCTCGTCGTCGCACGCAGTCTGCGTGACCGCGCACTGACCTCTTCTTCTCTCGTCCGCCCCTTTCCACCTTCTCTCCTCATCCTTTCCCTTTCCCTCCTTCCTTCGCATCTCCGCAGTGTTCAACCAGTCCCTCACCATGGCGGTGCGGTACACGGCCCTCTTCTTGGCGATCACGGGCGTGTACTCGACCTCCCCTGCTCGTGCGTCTCCGTCCCCTTCCTCCTTGTCCCGTTCACCGACACTGACCCTCTCGGTCGCCTCGCAGTCGTCACCTGGCTGCCAAAGTACGCTCGTCGCGTCGCCTGCGCCCTGAACAAGATGATCGCTTACTCGTCGCACGCACCTCCTGCAGCAACTCGTCGGGCCACTATCGCAAAGCGACGGCCGTCGCGTTCGGCTTCGTCATGACAAACTCGGGCGGCATCGCTGTGCGTCCCACTCCTCCAGACTCCTGAGACGAGTCGAGTCCCGAGTCCGTCCCTGACTCTCGAGCGCGCGCAGTCGACTTGGCTCTTCCCGAGCACGCAAGGACCCGAGTGTGCGCCCAGCTTCCTCCCGGTCGTCTCTGTCGCTCGGAAATATGCCCCTGACACGCATCACATGCAGATCACCAAGCGTCGAGCGTGCTCATCGCCATGACGGCCATGATCATCGTCTTCTGCGCCCTGAACCTCGCCTACCTCCGCCACGCGAACCGCAAGAAGGCCGAGCGACGAGCCGAGACTGGGGGCGTCATCGACACGTCGACGTGGCACCTCGAGGGCGACCGGCACCCGCACTTCATCTACTCGTACTGAGCGAGACGAGCGGGCGAGGTTCGAGTCGAGGGGCGAGGTCGACGGAAAAGGGCGACGTGCGCCCGGTCTTTTGGCTCAGTTCATACTGCATTGCATTTGCATGTTCTTCACCGAGCTGGCTGTGCATAGAGAGATCGGGAAAGCGGTGAGCCGACGGAAAGAGGTCGCGCTTAGGCCGTCGAGCGCGAACCGCCTTGCGAGAGGCCGGCCCATGCTCGCGCTCGACGCTTTGGCCCTGTGCTGCTCCGCCGTACTCGCTTTCAGTCGCGAGCACGCCCTCGCTGTCGCTTGTCCCGCCACGAGCGAGCTCGAGCTGCCACCGAATCGCCCTTCTCGAGCCGAGAGCGCTCTTCCTGTCGGCTTGCTCGTCGGCGAGGCCGCTCTGTACAGTACCGAGAGCACTCTCGAAGCGGGAGACAGTGCGGCGACCGCTGTGGGGAGCGTAAGCTCGAGTTCAAGGTCTGCTCGGCACTCGCGTCCCTCCTTCCCCTCCCACCCCTCGGCCCTCACGACCGGGCTCGCTCAGACTGGCTCGAGTCGGTACCTGCACATCTCGGCATCATTCTTCTGCTTCATGCGCACCACTGCGAGCGCTCGCCGCCGGCGCAGAGCGCGTCACACCTTCATCAGTAACTCGCGTCGTCCGACCTCTGTCGACTGGTGGCAACGGTTCATGGGCCTGTGGGTATCGTCGTCGAGGACTATTGCAGCATCAAGGAGACTACTGGGCCAGGCGACCGCGCTGTGTGGGCTGTGGGCGACTCGTGCGTCCCCCTCCTCCCCGCCTCCCCGTGCTTGGCACCCCTCTCCCTCTCCCCTAGCCCCCTCTGCCACCTCGCGACGCGGTGCAGGGGTCTCGATGGACTGACTCGGTCACCTTACAGGCGGAACGACTGCGCAAGGCGAGCAGGGCGGTCCTCTGGGCGGCGCGAGGCGGGCTCTTGACCTCGAGGCGGCTCGTCTTGTCCTTTGTACGTCCCGCGCACTCTCTCTCTCCCTTGCAGGACCTTCATGTGGGTCTGTGCTCCTCGCCGAGCCGCGCACTGACCCTCTCGACCTCGCGCCGCAGGTTAGTCGCGCCCTCGATGGCACCTCCCCCTTCTCGGCCTCGAAAGCTTCCCCTCGCGCCCTTGCTGCGCCGCGCGACGGCGCTCTTCCCTCTCCCATAGCTCTCTCGTCCCTCGCGATTGTTCCCAGACCGCTCAGAGTCCTCGTTCGTCGTCGCACTCGTCCCGGCGGCTCAGCGAGTCGAGCCGTCGCGGACGGGTCTTTACGAGGCTGCGCCCGCCCTCACGTGCCCCTGAGGGCAGCGGGCGCACTGTGGTGAGCCGCTCGCACGGCGCGCACCCCTGCGGAGCGCCCGTGCGCCCGGCCACCTACAAAAGACAGGGGGATCCTGCGCACCCTCGCTCAAACGCTAGCTCTTGATCTAGCAGGGTTACGGCTGTCTGCTCGCGCCAGATCGGACGATGAGGTGTCTGCGATGCAATCGAGCGCGTTTCCCGAGCTACTTTGTCGTGTAGAGCGCGAGTTGGTGTCGTCGCCTCCTCCCTCGAGTCCGAGGTCGGCGACGTCGTGAGCGCTGTTCCTGCTGGCTCGATCGCTCTCGAGATCTCTCTACGTGTCGTCGAGAGTGCGGCACAGCCCTGGGAAAGCTCGCCGGCCGCTGTGAGCGCCGCAGGCGTCTTCCTCCTCCTTCGCTGCCTCCTCAACCTGGTTGAAGCTCGCGCCGCCCGGACATCCAGGGCTCGGACAGGCGCTAGACTCGACCGCATCGCAGAGAGCAGTCGGACCGCGCGCGACGAAACCGATTGGCGGGCGCGGCTCTCTCGCACTCGCAAAGCGTCGCAGGCTCAAGCGCCGCTGCCACGTCAAAGCCGCTCTCCTCGCTCACGACCCGAGACGCAAATGGAGAGAGAGGCAGGCAAAAAAGCGCTTCGAGTTACTAGCAACATGCAGAACGATTCGGGGCTGTGCACACGGCGAGCGGGAGGGCGAGAGGGGTAGAAAAGCGCCGGCGGGTGCGGGCGGGAAGGGAGCGAGGAGGAGGACGGGGAGGGGAGAGGAGAGACGAGGAGGGGACTAGGCAAAGCGTGCACAGGGCGAAGCGTAGAACTCAGGGCACGACGCAAAAAAAGCGAACTGATCCCGCACGACGAGACCGGCTCCTCCCTACGACCTCGCTCGCGCGCCGACCACGACGCCCTCGAGCGAGCACGACTGAGATCGCTCAGCGGATCTGCCCGAACGGGCTGAGCATGCTCGTGTCGGCCTTGCGCTCGACCTTGCTCTTGGGGAACGCGCTCCAGAACCGGAGCGTCTCGTCGCCGGCGCCGGTGACGATCGTCTGCCCGTCGGGCGAGGCGGCGAGGTACAGGACCTGCAGGTGGCGAGGGGTTGGTGAGCGCCAGGACACAGGGACGAGGGGTGGAGAGGGAGGGAGGGACGCACGCGGTACGTGTGGCCGGTGAGCTGGGCGACCTGCTGCATCGACGGGTACCGCCATATGATGACCTGGTTCTGCGCCTGGCCCGCCGAGAAGCCGTGCGTCGTGACGAGCTCGTTCGAGTTCTTGCTGAAGAGCATGTTGCACACCTGCCGAGAGCGAAAGGGCGTGAGTCGGTGGGCGAGAGCGCGACGACGAGAGGAGGCGGAGCAGGGACGCACCTGGCTGCCCGTGTCGACCTCTTGCAGGAGGTTGCCCGTGAGCGTGTTCCAGAACCGGAGCTTCTGGTCGGCGGTGCCGCCGCCGCTCGCGAGGATACCGTGCTGGTGCGGGTTCCACGCGATCGCCTTGACGGCCGCGACGTGGTCGGTGAAGCGGTGCAGCGGCGTCTGCAACGTCGAGGCGGAACTGTCAATGCTGCACTCGAGGGAGAGGACGTAGAGAAAGAGAGCGAGGGGCGCACCTCGGACATCTTGTCGAACACGAAGAGCTTGTTGTCGTTGCCGCCGCTCGCGAGCTGGTTGTCGTCGCTCCACTTGAGGCCGCACACCTCCTGCCGGTGCACGGCGAGCTTGTTCGTCCAGTGGTCCTTGATGCGCACGTCGCGGTGGTAGATGAGGCGGTCATGCGAGCCCGACGTGAGGATGTGGTCGTTCCAGGCGAGGGCGCCGACTGCGGGACGAGCGAGACGGGTCAGGGCTGGCGAGTGACGGCGGGCAGCGACAGTGAGAGACGCACCTCGTGCCGTGTGACCCGTCATGCGCCGGATGATGCGGCCGGCTTGCGCGTCCCAGATCTGGATCATGCCGCTCTTGGTCCCGACGGCGATGGCTAACGTACTAAGCTCTCATGTTTCACGTACTAAGCTCTCATGTTTGAACAATAAAATTAATATAAATCAGCAACTTAACCCAGTTGATGCTCGTGATGGAATCTGGCGGATCCGACTCGGACAGGTCGCACAGCTTCTTGACCTCGCTCGTCTGCGCGCTCCACGTGTAGACGGCCGAGCCGAGACCGACGCCGAGCACGTTGGTCGACGACCAGTCGACGAGGTTGAGGTAGTAGTCGTCCTGTCAGGGGCACGAGGTCAGTTGAGGGTCGTCGAAGGAACGAAAGAGAAAGAGGACGAGGACGCACGGCGAGCTCGGGCGCATCGAGGACCTGCAGAGGGAGAGCGTCAGGACCATCCAGAGTGCGACAGAGAAAGAGTGGGGCGCACCTTGAAGGGCACGCGGCTGACCTGGCGCATCGCCTTGCGCGGGCTCAGGAGGAGCTTCTGGCTCTCGTGGCGGACGGGGCTCAGGCTGTAGCGCTCGTGCGTCGGGCTGTCGAGTCCACGCTCGGCGCCTTCACGCGTGATGCGCTTCCTCGACGGCGAGTGGAAGCTGAACAGGGGCTTGGCCGACGCGGGCGAGTTGCTCGGCGAGGTCGCGGCGGTGTACTGGGTCTGGGTGCGGACGGACGACGGCGAGCGGAGGAGGGGTGTCGGGTCGAGCGCGGAAGGACCGAAAAGTTCGCTGCGGAGGAGCGAGTCGAACGTCTTGTTGGCCTCCTCTGCGGCGCGAGGTCGAGCGAGGTCAGCCACCCTGGACCTGGAAGGGAGGGAAGAAGAGGGGGCGAGGACGGACCCGTCTGCGCATCGCCCTCGGCCGCTCGGCGCTTGCCCTTGTGGCTCGTACTCGGCGTCGACGAGTTGGACGACGAGGTGGAGCCCGGGAGGAGCGAGTACGAGGTGGCGAGGTCGAGGCCGTCGCGGTTCGGGATGAACCTGGAGGGGAGGGCGAGGGGTCAGTGGCGCGCTCGCACAGGAGGAATCGAGAGAGAGAGTGAGAGGGTGCGCACCTGTCGCCGTAGATGCGCTTCTTGGTCGGGGACGTGCTGCCACCGCCGAACGCGCTCGTGGCGCCGAGGCTGCTCTCGCGAGTCCTCGACTTTGACGGGCTGGCGGCCGGGCTTGAAGGTCCAGCGACAGGGGTGGCCGGGCGAGAGGTGCTGGGCGGCCCCCTTGCGGGCTCGCGACGGTCGTGCGACATCGGCTCGGTCGAGAGCAGCTGGGGCGGGTGGGGCTGCGTCACACCTCGACAGGGGCGGGTCGCGGGGCACTCGACGATGGCGCTGGTCGACAGTAGGTCGAGGGCGTGGGCGCAGGCGGGGCCGGCAGGCCGGGGCGAGGCGGTGTCGTCGTCGGGTCGAGTTGAGCGATGAGATGAGGAGGGGGGAGCTCGCTCAAGGCGACGGGCACGCGTGCAAAGCGGGCAGGAGGGAGGTGACGCTGCTGCAGGTGTACTCTGAGGGTGCGCGGCGCAGCACTCGACCTGCGAGGCGGTGGTCGAGGTCGACTCTCGCTCCTCTCCTCGTCCTCTCCTCCTCGTCCTTTGTTCCCGTGCGACACCGCGCTGCCCCTTGGACAGGCGCACACTTGCTGTCGCTTCTCTCGCAGGCATCCTACTGGTGCTCTGCTTCGGCTGGCGCTCCTGTCGCGAGGCTCGTCGCGGCAGCTCCTCCTCGTCTCCCTCGCGCCCTCGGTGAGTCCCTCCTCTCGCTCAGACCTGGGAGGGCGGACCTCGCACGGACCGTACTGACGCTGTTCACCTCGCAGGCGAAACTAGGACGACCTGAGCCTGTTCTGCCGTCGTCACTCTCGACTGGCGGCATGAGGGTCACGAGCCGGCCCTCGTCCACCGCTGCGCACGACGCTCCCGCCGGCTGCTTGACCGTGGCTACGCCCAGAGTCGACCGGCGGGCCGAACGAGGCGCCGTGTCGAGAGCGGGCTACCGCGCCCGGGCCTGCTCCGCCTCTGTGGGCTCGCCAGAGGCTCGTTCGCGGGCGATCCAGGACGGCTCTCCCGCTCTGTCGCCCCGAGGGCGAGCCGCCAGCTCCGCTCGTGCGCCGTCGCACGCCTCGTGGAGGCTGAGCGCAGCTTCGTGCGGGTGCCGCGAAAAGGCCGGCCCGCCGCCTGCGCACGATCGCGCGGAGCCCCAAAGTGCGAGCCTCGAGTTGGACGGCTCGCGCGCTTCCGCTTCTGGTGCCTTTGGTCCTCGTCGACTGGGTCGACCGGCTCAGCGAGGAGCGCTCGACGTCGGTCGCGTACCCGGGCGGCGACGTCGCAGCGACCGCAGTCGCGCGGCCCTTACAGCCGACGCACTTGCTCCCTCGCTCTCCCTCGGCGAACAACCTCGTCCGGCGCCAAGACTTATTGATCGCAGGCCCACATGCAGCCGGCAGAACGGGCTCCCGCTCCAATGGCGAGGCGTGGGTGCACCCTTTGTTCGCTTGAACCTCTCGCCGTCGTTCCGCGCCCCGACCTCCCTCGGTCGTTGGAGGCCCGCGACTGGGGCCCGCCTCTTCAACCTCGACTTCTCGCCCAGCTCTTCGACCGTCGACGACGCTTTGCGCACCTCTACGAGCCCCCAGCACCTACACCACCCCTCGACCGCGCACGCACCTCGCCTCGCGCCGCATCAGCTCAGCCGCACCGCGACTCGCCTTGCCTCGCCTCGACACCGGCACCTCGTCCTCTTCTCGAGCAGCGACATCGTCCGCGCCGTCATGGAGCACAAGCCCGTCGCGCAGGATGCCGAAAAGGCGTCCGTCCACAACTGTGCGTCGCCGCCTTTCCCCTTCTCTCTCGTCCTCCTCGGCCAGGACCGTCGAACACCTCGTGCACGTTCGCCACGCCCTGACACTCTCGTCCTCTTCCGTCCTCGTCCCTCGCCTTGGCGACACGCAGTCGAGCTCGCAGGCCCGTCCGCCGCAGACGGTAAGAGCCCTCACGGACTTCTCGGGATTGATGAGGCAGCAGAAGCGCGCCTCAGGCGCAAGTTCGACCTGCGCATCCTCCCCATGGTCATCCTCATCTACCTGTGCGTCTCGCTTTCGCCTCTCGACCCTCCTTGACGATGCCGAACCTCCCTCGAGGCAGACAAGCGGCGACGGCCCTTTCCTGGCCGACTATCCTGACGCTCCTGTCCGTGCGCAGCTTCTGCTTCATCGACCGGTACGTCAACGAGCCAGTCAGGAAGAACGGCACGAGTCGAGCGCGTCCTCGGCGACGCTCGAGCCCTCCTTTTCTGCTCACGGGCCAACTGACCCTCTTCCTCCTTGTCCTCCTCCATCACAGCGCCAACATTGGCAACAGTCGTGTCGCCGGTACGTCCACCGCCACTGAGCCCATCTCTCGACCGAGTCTGACCAAGCTTCGTCCCCCTCACAGGCCTCGAGAGAGACTTGGGCATGTCGGTGCGGCCTCGACCTCCCCTCTCGGCACGAGCGTCATACTGACACAGTCACGTATTCAGGGCCTCGACTACAACGTGCTGCTCTGCGTCTTGTGCGTCCCGCCATCGCCAGCTCTCCCTCGGCGCCCGAGCCTCTTCTCTGACTGACTCTCGGATCCCTTGCCCCCTCCCTCTCTCGCCTCGCCCTCGCCCTCTGCAGCTACGTCTCGTACACGGTGTTCGAGCTTCCTCTGCAACTCGTCACCAAGAAGATCGGGCCCGGCAAGACGCTCCCGGTCCTCACCCTCCTCTTCGGCCTTTTCTCGCTCTGCATGGGCTTCGTCCAGAACTACGGCGCAGCCATCGCGGTCCGCTTCTGTGCGTCCCTCTTCTCTCTTTCTATCAGAGCCGAGGCGACGTGCGGCGTCTCGGTGTCGGCGTCGTCGTCGCCTAGAGCCGCGAGGTCGCCTTCTCGGCCTCCTCGTGGCCTCCCTCTCCTCTGGATGCACTGACATACTTCCTGCGACAGTGCTCGGCATCGGGGAGGGAGGAATTTTCCCTGGACTCGCCTTCTACCTGTCGCGCTTCTGTGCGTGCTCGTCGTCGTCGTCCCCCTCAACTTGAGAAGGTCGCTCTGACCTACTTTTGGTGCCCACAGACCGCAAAGACGAGCTCGGCTTCCGCCTTTCGTGCTACATCGTTTGCGCACCCGGCGCGGGAGCTGTCGGCGGACTGCTCGCGAGCGGCCTGCTCAAGATCGGCTCGATTGGCCAGTACCGGTCCTGGCGGTCCGTCCACTTCTCTCCCTCCTCTGGCAGAGCCCGTCCTGACCCTCCTGCTTCGCGCAATGAGCTGCATCTTTATCGTCGAGGGCATTATTACGATGGGCATCGGCTTGATCTCGTGGTTCGTGCTGCCCGATCGTCCCGAGACGTGCAAGTGGCTCTCGGCGGACGAGCGAGGTGCGTCGGCGAGTTCTCTCCTTGCCGTCACTCGACAGCCTTACTGATGTCGGTGCACGCACGCAGCCCTCGCCGACGCCCGCATCAAGGCCGAGAACCCGGGCCAGACGTCGACGATCGACAAGCTGCACAGGAAGTCCGTCATGCAGGGCATCTTCAGCCCGTCAACCCTTCGTGAGTCGCTATCCTCGTCCTCCCAGTCCTCCCCGTCACTACATCGAGCGCGTACACCGTATCGAGGAGATGCTGCGGCGTGCGCCGCCCTCTCGTCCGCACCGGGCTTGAGTCTGACTCTTTCGCTCCCCCTTCCGCCGCGAAACAGTCGCGGCCCTCATCTTCCTGTTCAACAACATCACCGTCCAGGGCGTTGGCTTCTTGTACGTCCTCGCTCTCTCAGTCAAATTCGCGAGCGTGAGCTCACCATGCACTTCCCCTCGCGCCCCATTTTCGCGCCTCGACAGCCTCGTACGTCCTCGTCCCTCCTCTCGGCCCACCACCTCGCGAGACTGACACGTGTCCCTTGCAGCCGACTATCGTCAGGACGATCTACCCGGGCGAGAGCGCGATCGCCCTTCAGCTGCGCACGGTCCCGCCCTACGTCGTCGGCGCCTTCACGACCCTCCTCACCGGCTACCTCTCGTTCAAGACGAAGAAGCGCGGGCTCTACATGCTCCTGTCGTCTCCATTCGTCACGATCGGCTACATCATGTACCTGTCTTCTATGAACCCGCAGGTTCGCTACGCCGCCGTGAGCCCTCCTCTCCTTGCCTCTTCTCGCCCTCTCCCTTGCGCTCCGACCTCGGCCGAAGCTGATGCTGCTCCCACACGCGCAGGCTTTCATGGTCGCCATCGGCGCCTTCTCGTTCGGCGCGCTCTGCACGGCCTGGGCGGCGGCCAACGTGACCTCCGACACGGCCCGTGCGTCCGCCATCGGCACCGTCGTCATGTTCGGCAACCTCGGCGGCCTCATCGCGACCTGGACCTTCCTGCGTACGTCCCTACGCGCTCGCCGTCTGCCTTTCCTGCGCGACGAGCGACACTGACCCTCGTCGCCGTCCCTCGCAGCCAAGGACGGACCTCGCTACGTCCCGGGCAACGCGTTCAACCTCGCCGGCAGCGTCATCATGTTCTGCGCCGCTGCGGGCCTGTGGGCGTGGCAGGTGCGCGAGAACCGGGCCAAGGAGAACGGGCGCGACGACCACTACCTCGTCGGCAAGACGGAGGAGGAGGTCCAGCTTCTCGGGACCAAGAACCCGCACTTCCGCTACAGCATCTAGACTAGAATCGGCGTCTGTGTGTCGCTATCGTAGAAGGTGTCGACTTGGCTTTGCAACGAGACTATGGACGAGCTGTGCGCCCGGCTCCGTCGAGAGCTGTCCTCCCAGCCGCTTTCCCAGCCTGCACGGCTTCTCTGCCAGCCTCGGTACGCCTTGCAAGTCTCAAAGGGACAGCATGAGCCTGCTGAAAGCGCTCGCGTTCGCCTTGACTCGTCTCGCAGCACGCTCGAGCACGCTGACGTGTCCGCTCGTCTTTCTCCTCGAGTGAAGGTTGCTCGCCCAGTACACTTGCACCCTCTCTACATGGTCATACCGCTCTGTCTCTCGCTCTCGAATCTGTTGAGAGCACGAGAGCCCGAGACTCGCAGAGCACCGAGTCGGGTTCGCGTCCGTCCATCCCTCCTCGCTCGGACCCTCCAAACTCGCCTCGCCTCGCCCATCTACCAAACCCTGCCGCCCATTTGCCCCTTGACCTCCCACACTGCGCCACCCTCGTCGAGCTTGTACTGGAGCGCGCGTGCGCCCGACCTCGGCGCGTCGACGGACCAGTGCGGCGGCGCGGGCGACGGCGTGACGAGCGAGGGCCCGCGGTGGAGCGAGAGCTGTGGGACGCGGTGCGAGAGGTCAGTCACCCATACCCGACCAGAGCGACGCTGCCTCTCGCGCGCCGAGCGAGAGCCGGCAAGGTCGAGAGTCGGAAAGAGGGAGAACGAGCCCGACGCACCTCTCCCCTCGCGCCCGTGCCGCCATTCCCGAGCCCGACCACCTCTCCCCACAGGTCGCACCCTTGCAGAGCGTGCCGGAACAGGTACTGGTCGTCCGGGCTCTGGTACGGCGAAGAGGTGGGCGAAGGTGCGTGAGTCGAGGGTGAGGGCGAGAGCGAGTCGGCAAGGAGGAGGGTGACGAGCGAGGCGGAGGACTGTACAACAGGCGAGCAGGAGGATGGAGGAGGAAGAGTGTCAGTGGGCTGGTTGAGGAGGACGAAAGGGAGAAGAGAGAGAGGGACGAGCGCACCTCGCTCACGAGTGCCCGCACGCCGCGCCACCACCGTACGACGTCTCTCGCCTCCCTGCCGACCCACAAGAGCGCGCTCAGGTCGTCGATCACGACGAGCGGGCCGGGCTCGTCGCCGCCAGGGTTGCCGTCTGTCGGAGCTCGCGGATCTGGAGGTCGAGCGGCGGCGTCGGGTCGGGAGAGGGCGGTGCGAAGAGAGGAGAAGAGGTCGGCGAGGGGTAGAGAGGGTGACGAGGCGTCTAGGAAGGTAAAGCGCCTGGCGGACGACTCGGTTGCGAGCTGGACGCCCTGCGAGGAGGAGGAGCGAAGGTGTGAGTGCGGTCGTCTGGCCGGTCTAGACCGGGCCAGCGCACTGATTGCGCCGCCGACCGAGCCCCAAGCCGAGATTGAACGCACATGCTTGCGCAGCGTCGCGCCCCAGTACTCCTCGCGCTCCCTCACCCCGACGAGCACCACCCTCCTCGGGCCCGCCGCCCTGGCCCTCGCTCTCGCCGGTTCCGGCACTGCAGGCCGCAGCGCGCGCACGACGAGTTGCACGAGGAGGAAGGTGGCCGGAGCGTCGAGTGTGTCGGTGAGGAGGAGCGAGAGGTCGGGCGGGAGGGCGGTCGAGGTCGAGGGGAGCGAGGAGGACGAAGTGGGCGAGGCCGGGAGCGTAAAGGTGAGGAAGTCGCTCGTGTAGCTCATCGTCGGCGGCTCGGTGGCTCGCAGCGGCACCTGGTGGTCGTGCGCGCAGTGGGAAGAGCAGGAGGTGCATCGCCGCCTCGTCGCGCTGATGAGCAAGTCGCAACTCGCTCTCTCGCGCGGGCTGGGCTCGTTCGTCTCTCGCTCGACTGCTACAGGACGCTCTCTCGGACGTGGTCATGCTCGCGAGCGCGTCGAGGGCCTCGGCGACCGCTCGCCAGACTCTCGCTCATTCTCTCTCGTTCTCGATACTCGCCGCACAGATGGGCAGCTCCGAATCCCACGCGCGTTGCAGCGTTTTGCGCTCCCAACGCACGCCCGTAAAGGAGACGAGAGCAGCCCTCGGCCCAGGTACCCCGTGTTCCCGTGCGTCCCTCGAGAGGAGGAAGCGCTTAGTAGACTGCGGGCGACGGACAGGGTCAGTGTCGGCTCGAGAGGGGGGCGCGAGAGAGTGAGAGAGTGTGGACGCACCGAAGCCGAGGACCTTGCCGGCAACGTGCTTGCGGCGAGCCTCCTCGTGGTCCATGATGCCCGCCGAGGTGGTCTGTGCGGCGCGACGACGGACGAGGGTCAGGACGGGACGACTCGACGAGGCGAAAAAGAGAAGAGGACGCACGAGGATGATGTAGCCGAACGAACGGGCCGGGAGGAGGAGGGCAACCCACTTCTCAATGTCCGGGAGGCGGATGTTGAAGCGGGGCCTGTGCGCGAGGTCGTCAGTGCCGCGCTCCCGAGTCTCGCACGGACCGGCAGGAAGAGGGGACGCACGAGATGACGCCGGTCTTGTTGATGCGGCCGTTGAGCTGGACGACGAGCTTGCCCGAGCGGTGGTCGTCGATCTCCTCGAACTCCTCGATGTAGCCTGTGCGCGCGCGAGGAGCTGCGTCAGTCTCGCGCCGTCGACGACACACAGAAAGAGAGCAGGACGGACCGTGCTTCTGCATCACCGTGAGGACACGGATGATGACCTTGGAGCTCGGGCGAACGAGCACCTGGCGCTTGCCACGCTTCTCAGCGTTGACAATGTTGTTGAGGCAGTCGGCCTGTGGGGCACGCACAAGGTCGTCAGTCAGAGGCACGCAGGGACTGTGCGAGAGGAAGGTGTGGGACGCACAAGGACGGAGACACGCATGGCTGAACGCGGCGACGAGTGGGGAGCGAACAGGGGCAAAGGGGAGGGGTCAGAACATGCGGGTCGGGTGTGCGGGTGTGCGGTGCCCGTTCTCCTGCCCTGCGGCGAGGAGAGTGCGGGTCGCGTCGGGTGTACGGAGGCGAGCGAGGCGCAGGAGCCACGCCTGTGCATCTAGTCGGCCGCAGCCCGGACGGTTTTTCATGCAGCCGAGCTTGGGGTCCGAGGTC